GTATGAATCGGACTCTTGAACATCCCGATCGTTTGTCTCTAAGCAGGCTACTTTTGTTGGCTTCGCTGGTCACAAGGCCGTTCAGGACTGTCTCCAAGTCTAGCTGGCATTACATCTGCAGCAATTTATCGAACCTACTTGTCGCAACATCTGCCTGCAACAAGGACCTATTGTCTCTGTATTACTGGGAAGGACGCGGACCGTTGCCCCACGGTTTCGGTTACATCCCATCATCGTTTGGCTGCCAACGAGACGGGACAGCCACCTCGCCGGCATTACCTTGACAAGCTCGTCACTATCCAACTGACCTGTTCTATCTTATCAGAATATCAGGTGCGTAGACCATGCCCTATGTGACAGTTCCTCGAGGCGTGTCAGTACACCCAGTCCTGAACCCCTCCATTGCTGCCTGCCCTCTAACCCCCCACGCGAGGCTGCCTGCTAACGTCTACATAGTGTCCTCCTAGATCAACCACGCGCCTTTCGCTATCTGCGCCAGGACCTGTTTTCAGGGTTGCGCAGTTCAAGCCTTGGCAGTGGACTTCAGGCCGTCCCAGCCGCAAGAGCCATAGCAATATTGTCAATGTCTGGATACGGCAAGAACCATGAATATGTATATGGTAAGTGGTTCGCGGCTCATCTGACGAGTTTGGAAGCGCACCTGCCCAAGCTGGGTCGGCTGAACCCGGCACTGGCCCACGTGAGATCGATTAGCATGTTTGACTGACCACCTACGTCCCAGATGCCGAAGCCACCAGATCAAATCAGGTTGCGAGCTACCCAGGCATTGCGCAGCCCGCATTCGCCTCGCATTACACGGATGCGCCCGCGCTACTAGGCCATGAGTCCACGAGTGCAGAGGTGCCCTACATCCCTAGCTCGACGTACGAGTCACGCGGCATAGGAGACGTTCAATCCAATCCAGCATTTATCGATGCAATAGCTCGTCATCCCGCCTCACTTGCAGATACTGAAACGGAAATCACCGAACCGATTACACCTGCGCAAGGTACAGCTGGATCTCTGGTAACGTTGCAACTCCGGACGAATTACGACCTTGATGCGAACCAACATACCTTCATACTCATGTTTGGCCAAAAGAAGTGCGTTGGTGCACTTCAAAAAGTCGACTACGAAGACGACGAATCGTGGTACAACTACGTACTGAACGTCGAAGTGCCCCCTTTCCCACTGACCAACACATTCGATCCAACCATGATGTTGAAACTGCAGATGGAAGATAAGATGGGTAACCTACGATCGCAAACGAACGCGGGAAAGTTCACCTATACCGACATGTCGCCAAACCTCGCATATCAATCATCGCCGGATTTCTCAAGAAAACGAAAGTACTCCCCCGAGTTTGGCAATGGTCGAGAATTTTCCGACGGTAACGCTGCAAAGCGAACGTTTGCGAAGCCACGCGCTATGTCTGGAGCGTACTCTGCTGCACACATGTCACCGCTGGCGACCCAGTCTGCGCTGGCCAGTTCGTACGCACAGAGTAGCAGGTACAACCTAGCAAAGCCAGCAAACTACGGTTCGCAACTGTCGCAGAAAGGCCTTTACGCAGTACCCTCAGGCATGGGCATGAGCCATGGTGAATACGAGCTTCCGCAGATGTCGCCAATGCTGCATTCATATGCTCCCTATAACTCCCTCGCCAGTACTGGTCGAAACCACACAGCCCCCGTCTTGCCTTCACCGTCCACTATTTCTACACCAGTCCTCGTCCGAGCCACACATCTTGCGCAGGCGAGTGGGAGCACTTCTTCGGTCCGGCCTTTCAATCCGTATGCTATGAGTCAGAGCAAGGCGGTGCTAAAGATAGACGGAGATCTTGACAAGATGGCAGACGATTGGTCGCAGGAAGAGTTGGAGGCCAAAAGGCGGCTTGTTGGGTTCGAACGATCGCAAAATGGCAGCACCATAACGACTTCCTTCGAGCCTACTCCAGGAGAAGGTCGGGATGCACGTCGTATCTGTGTCAGCTGTATCTGGTGGGAAGAAAAGGACGAGTGCTTCATCACAAGTGTAGACACGATATATCTTCTGGAGCAACTCGTGAACGTACGCTTTACCGTCGAGGAGAAAAATCGCATACGTCGCAACCTCGAGGGTTTTCGCCCTCTCACCGTTTCGAAGGCAAGACCAGATAGCGAAGGATTCTTCAAGGTTATCATGGGCTTTCCCCATCCCAAACCTCGCAATATCGAGAAAGACGTCAAAGTATTTCCCTGGAAGATACTCGCGCATGCACTAAAGAAGATCATCAGCAAATATGTACGTTCTCTTGCGACTTTCTGTGCAACAAAAAGCTAACAAAACCAGTCTGCTAGCTATGCCTCAACGGCCAGTGCTGGGCATCTCCCACTTTCCACAACCTCCTCGTACGCTCCAAGCGCCACCCCACAGGCAACATTGAGCGCCCATCGAAACGCGTCACCACAATCAGTACCCACGTCCACTGCTTCAACGGCCTACACGCGTAACCTGGCCTCTTCTAGCCTATCGCCCCACCAGAAGGTGGCAGCAGGGCTCGAAGGATCAGCAGGACAGGGCATACCGGTCTCTCAGAGGACACCTCCAGGACAGAGCATGACTCCGTGGAGCACTTCCATTCATCAGATGTCACAATACCCCTCAACGATGTCTCATGAGGGGCGAGGGTCCTGGGACTATGGGTATCTAAGTGCTTCGGCTGCGACGGAGGTGCGGCCCATCCCCCATTCGCTGCAAATGCCACGGCAGAACGCGACGCCCAACCTCAGCCACATATCCGCAACCCATACCTACCATCAATACGGTGAAGACACGACGAGGGTGTAGGAAAAGAAGGATTCGGAGAGAATGTCCACAGGGCCACAGATACGACTACGCGTTATGGGCGTTGATCAGCGTCGGGTGATCAGCCAATGTCCGCATGATCCATGACCGCCTAACCCGATCGGGTGTTGCACCAATCTTCCTCCACACCACTTATCGCTAGATCCGCCTCGCGCATCTCGCACATCTTCTCAAGTTTACAGTTTTGTTCCCAATTTTCTTAACATCATATGGTATCTGGTTTGGCGTTGAATACGGCGATTTCGGCATTTGGACACAGGACGCATAATACCCCGGGGAGGCGGCGTTCACCATATTTTCGGATTCATCGTCAACAAGCATGTATAGGATAATGGCGAGCAGTCGGGCGATGCCTCACGCAAACAACTTGATCGCGAACCCTTGTCAAATCCAGCATGGTCAGCTCTGCATTACACTGGCGTTTTCTCATGTTCCTCTATACCCAATAATTTCTCCGCTACCCACCTTTAATCGTTCGCTATCTTTCAAAGCTCCAAGACCATGTCTCTTTCGAGAAAGGGCCACATCACTTCAGCTTCGTACGGCTGCTCAACCGCAGGCACTTTTGCTTTCCACGCCTTCAAGATTCGGTGTCTGCCTTGTTATTTTCTCCATTTGTTGTGGACTCCAAAGATTTCCCATTTTCCTTACTCTATCAACCGCACTATATGTAACGCAATGCATCTGTAACACACTAAACCTCGCCTCCACATATGCGAATCCTTCTAAACATCTCTTTCCGACCTGTTTCGTTCCTAATATGTCAAGTTATGCGAGCTCCGCCACATTACAGGGCGCAGCCACCTTTGGCCCCGGCCTTTACAACTGCCTAATTCTTGCCAAGGAGCTACAACATCCGCGGTCGCCGATGCGATATAGGCATCAGCTAAGCTTATCTACTATGGACTATGATCTCAGCAAGTCGCGCGCATCAGTCGGAACGATGCGGAATGACCTGTGGGTATCCTGGGGCCCTGACAGATGACCAGCAGTTGTCCCGACACTGAGGACCCGCGTCACACCAGATGTTCAGGCGATCAGTCCTGGCCACGAAGTCACATGCTCCCATAACGACTACCCGAAGCCAACTCCAGGCACCTGGAAGTGTTCTTTGAAGGCTTGCCAACAACTATTGTCGAGACGTTGCGACTGCGCCGCATATTTGCCTTGCCAACGTTTCATATGTCCGCACCACGAGAACGTGCATGTTGCTTATATGTTCGGTGTGCAACAGGAATAGGCTGCGTTTACTAGGACTTAGAATTCAGGACGAAAAAGTATTCGGAGGAAGGCGATGCGCCAGACTAGGTAGGGTGTGAATCACGCCCGACTGCACGGGTTTTGCCTACATATCATCCGTTCATCAGATAACCCAGAGCTGATCGACGCAACCGGTGGGTCTTCTCAGCAGGATGCCAAACTCAACTCAACATCCATGTTCATGAAGACGGGTCAGCCGTTCGACGCATCTGATCATTCCGACCTGACGTAGACGAACGCTTAGATCACGGGCGTAGCCAGGGTTCAGGTCGGCTGGGGTCTGAGTGCTGATCTCACGTTAGACCACGTGGGATAACGCAATGCTCACTGCAGGCTCGAAAGCAGACGCGCGCAAAGACCTTTGGCCCTGGGTCGGTGGCCGTGTAGAGTATGAAGAGCTGTCATCTTGTGGCATACGTGTGGTTTGCCTTGCCATGTCACGTTAGGGCCAAACGACAAAATTCGGAGTAGCAAATTGCATCAGATGCGAGTGAGAAGATGTATGTATTCGATGCTATAGCGTTACTTCTGACTGCCATACTGCACTGTGAGTACCGCAATGCTGATGGAATTCTTCTTTACCTGGTAAGAGTTATGTTTGATATGATACAAGACTTGTATGAAAATGTGGAATTTCGGAAGATCTTGTGGTAGGTCATGCCTAAAAGCATATAAATAAGTGCCATTTTCGATAGGTGATACTAAACTAAAAGTACAGGTACACTCGGACTGAACAGCCAGATCGAGTGGTAAAAGTCGCTCTAATGAGCTATAGACAAACGGAAAGGCGCCGTATTGGCTGGGACTAGATACAGGCAGACAAACGCAACTGCTGTATTCGGTCTCGCATGGTGATGCTCGCATCACACACCGGCATAGCTGACCAGATTGATCTAGTTCTTGCGGAAACCCAGGTCCAAGTCGAGGGAGTCGCCGAGGGAGTCGTAGGAGTCCTCAACGGGGGCAGCCTCGTAGGTGTCCTTGACAGGAGTGGGAAGAGCCTCGTAGGTAGGTTCCTTGGTGGGAGTAGGGACGTAGACGTTGCTGGGCTTGACGGGAGCAACGTTGTAGACCTCGCTGGGAGTGGGAGCAGCCTCGTACACATCAGCGGGGGTGGGAAGAGCACCGTAGGCGGCCTCAGCAGGTGTAGGCATGGCCTGGTAAGCGGCGCTGGTGACCTCAGGCACGGTCTCCTCGTAAGAGTCCTCGAACTCAGGGAGAGTCTTGTCAAGGCTTAGGTCGTCGAAAAGACCCCTCTTGCTCAGACTGTCTGACAGTTCAGGGAGAACATCGTGGTAGGACTCCTCGGTCACCTCTGTCACCTCGGGCTTCATGTTGTATGTCTCCTGATACACGTCTGGGGCGGCTTCGGAGACATCTTCAGCAGAAGGAGTGACGGTGTCGCGCTTGCTTGGGCGAGCAGGGATGGGCTCTCCCTTCTCAGGCATGTCAGACATGTCGATGCCGGAAAGAGCGTCCTCAATCTCGTCGCGCCTGTTGAGGCTGCGAACCGGAGCGTTGTCAACCTGCTCTTGGACAGGATTGGTGAGTTGACAAAGGACTGGAAACGTAAGCTTTTGTCTGTTATGCGCAAAACAGTCCCATATGCTGAACATAGAAGACTAGGAGAATGAGTGCCACCTACCATCAGAGCCATCGCAGGCGGCCTCCTTAGCTAGAGGCAGCGCGGTAGCGAGCTGAGCGGCGATGACGAGAGCGAGAAACTTCATGTTGGCGTTTGATTAAGTTCGATATGAATGATCGTAAGAATATTAAAGTAAAGTAGTGTATTGTAGTAGTGACTGAGTTGTTGTTGTTGAGCTGATGAGCCAGAAGATGGCATGGAGGCTTATTTTTATATACTCAAACGTTTCGAATGTCGGTGTCTGTTCAGATGCTTCTTTCAGCGCACGGTACTGACATTGCTTTTCACCAGAGCAGTGACTGCAAGCATGAAGATCAGATCTGTGCTAATTAAATCTACCAGGTAACAAACTGCATGAACTAGCTCCAACGGCCAGTCTTCGGTGGATTTCCAGATTTCTGGAATGAAATTCATCTCATGGCCAGCACCTTGCCTTTGCCTCAGTCAGATCGGAAGGTCGCATCGTGTTGAACAGTGCGCATCACATATCTAGATGCAATGCACCATACGGTTGGTATCAACTTTGGTGTTGAACAATGCGCACAATCGGCGTGAACCGTTGATTCAGAGCCTTCGTCAGATGAAACGAGAACCAGCAGATCCTACGATGCCCAAGATAATCTGCTCTCATTCTTTCTGGAGAATGCCATGCCGGATAGGATGGCAAGGATCTACACTTCCTGAAGTACTAGCTTGCGGGTATCGTTAGAAACTGGTGCTATGTTCCTTAGAACAAGGCTTCGAGAAGACATCATAACCAGACTGGAAGCTATGCGCGCAAGAAGGCGAAGAGGCTCTTCAAACTTCAAGGAAGACGGCATGAAGTTCAAGCAATTGATCCGTGACCAAGCATACATCCGTGAAGGCAAAGGAACTGTTAGCTTGACGACACAATAGCATATGTGAACTGATCGCAGCAACGAAATCGAGAAGGCGAGGCTGAGAAAGGGAGACGAGAAAGAGCAAACATCGTTGGGTCCTCGGTGTCTACTTAGCGCCCGCTCGGTCCGGCCAAAGTGGGGCAGGGCGATCACATCACGCATGTCAGCGCATTTAGAACCACGATGCACTTCAACGACTTCGTTAATCGCATTGTAAAATCTACCATGTCTGCTATGCGCTAAATGACCATTGCACTGCATTGCATGGAGATTCCCGCATGTACCCCGGAGTATCCTCCGAGACCCTCGTGGCGACAGCACCAGAAGTCCATTTCCGTCAATCCTTCAACTCAATAGAGCATTCTTCTCCAAGCGCCGCCACATCACCGCACAAGAACGAGCCCAGAAGGCCAAGACACGGTTTTCTTCAAAGAAAGAAGCGAAGAGAACCGCCACAGTAAACTTGGGTGAACTCGGAGAGATCAGCTAAGCAGTCTCCTGGCTAATGCTAGTCGGACGCACGTACAGTCCGGTTGATGTTGCTTTTCACGATGTCGGTTGAGCGCAAAAGGGACCCTAAACGCACCAACGAGCGCTAGACGCGTTACTTGTCCAGACTGGTGGAGAAGTAGTGAGGCGACCTATGTCTCGAGTGTCAAGAGAGGGAGGGTGATCGTCATGGTGCGTCAAAAGGGAGATTAGCTATGTTCATTCAAAAGAAATTGAGTTGGAATGGTCCTCTGTGTCTTTGACGACCCGCTTACTGAGACATGAAGACCAAATCCGCGATGATCTTGCCCAAGTGAGAGATTCAAGTGCCTTTGCATCCGATCAGAAACATACATGCCAAGGGCCCAATTCGAGAAGTCGCCACGCGCACTGTTTACGATTGTTATAAAAGCAGACTACAAATTGTCTATCGATATCAATGGAAAGCTTAAGTAAACACAGACGTAGTTCTCTCTAGATCTCGATATCCGACTAGGACACCATGGTATTCACGGCATTATTCTCGGTGTGCCAGGGTCGACGATGGAAAAAGCACTTATAAAGAAGTGCTGCAGAGACAGTTAGCATTTCTTAACTCCCAATGTAAGGCTAGACTTCTTAGCTACATCCCATCAACACATATCTTGTAGGCAACCATCGAAATGGAACCAAAGGTGAACAACATTACCAACTCTACTCACAACTCTTATTTGTGTTAGTCATTACAGCGCGGATCTGCACTGGAAGCGAGCAAGAAAGGGTAGAGCCAACGGCTCGAAACAGATCAGCAAGTACATCATCTTCACGCATTGTCATTGCTCACCGCCTGGACACACAAACTGAGCCAGCCACGCACGCACAAGTCGACGATAGGTCATAGCCTTACGACAAGTAAGCTGTCAACGTCCGGCTAATGGTCTCTCACCGCAAACTCGCCTGCGCTCGTCCCTAGGCTAGCGCTACCAATACGTCATCGGCCTTGGTATCCTTTAAATCGGACTTTGTCACAGATCTCGGTAACCCGCAAACCTTGTTGTTAAAGACTAGTCTCTATGGCATCTTTGTGCTCCCAAGATTGGTGACTTTCGACCATTGATGCTAGCCAACAAAACTTGGCTGTTTTCACATTACTGCCAAAATGTCTTCTCACGGCTACGGCACATCCTTGTAATATTTGTAGTCTTCTGGGTGTTGGTATGGTCCAGACCACGTCTCCTAGATGCACTTCAACGACAACTATCCTCGGGCTACTTGCCAGGTTTTAGCATACAACGCTTCGTGTAAAATTGAGCATGACCTGCTGAGAAGGATGATAGATGGATCAAGGAGGAACATATATCAACCACAAAAGGCGAGATGAAGGAATGCCAGAGAATCAATCGGCGGCTACTTCACAAACCCGGAAAGTGCGTTGTCCACTACGAGAGACATTCAATGGTGTCGTCGCAGTTGTCAATGGTGAAAGTAGGAAGGACGGGGACTTCAATATTGTAACTTGAAGTAGTGATGTATAGAACAAGATCTAAAACACACTGGGATGAAGGGAAATATCCAAGACTTCGAAGTGAAGATAACGTTTTTGCCCCTAGACGTACAACAACAGCATTAAAGTATGAAAAACTTATAAAAGTAGTCTTCTATAGAGATTCTATAGGCAGTAACTTTTGGAAGAATTCTTTGTTTTGTTGTTGCATGGTGAGGCACTTTCGGAGATATCTTGTTCCTGGGTGTGTTTGATCTTTCCCTTCATCCTGGTGGACAGTAAATGAAATGAACCTAAGAAAAACGAGACAGCTAACCGCTCTTATACATATACCCAGAAGCAGCCTCCAATTAACCGTACATCCAACTAGTAGATCGTGCCCTCATGTCACTGATCTTCGTTCTACAGCTTTCCAACGTCCAGAGATCTCGAAACAGATTATGCCATAACGTTGACCCATGAACGACAAGCCCACTTAACAATACCGCGTAACAAACGACGCCACCAACATCATAAAATGCAGATTGTGGTCACAAAGCTGAGGTGAAGCCAAACAAGTGTGTGTAAACGCAAAGGTAGTTCTTTCATTATCTACATGACTCATATTCCATTCATCCATCTCATACTCATGTGCCCAAACTTCATCAAGCTAAGCGTGAACGGTCATTAACGAGGAGGAGAGAGATAGGGAGAGATCGAAACCAGGAATCGATCAAACCAACAAGGAAACAACCAGAAAAACAGAAGAGTACGACAAAACAGTCTAAAGTCCTCCCACAGCCACCAACCAAGTAAGTGGTGCCAGTGCAGCAAGGGTATAATGCAACTTCCCAACTCAATCTCCTTCTTTTCTTCATCTGTCATCCACAACAGTAACCGCCCAAATCAACTCATAGTCGACGTGGCGATGCTCGTAGGAAAAGTGGTTAAACAAGCGTTAGAGCGTTTATTTCTTGCCTTTCTTCTTGTTCTTCTTCTTGTTCTTTCCGGAACTAGGTGTCGACTCGCCGTTCGCCTCACCCTCCTCTTCCTCGGCGTTGTTACCAGGCGTGGTGGGTGTAGTAGGTGTCTCTGGCTCCTCGGTCTCGGCAGCGCCATCAGTAGCAGGGGCGGGGGTGTCCTCTGCCTCCTTAGCCTCAGGAACTTCCTTGGCTTCAGCGACAGGCTCAGCAGCGGGTTCAGCAGCAGGTTCAGCCGCAGGCTTCTCAGCCTCCTTTGACCCAGCCTTTGCGAGGGCCTCAGCGTTGACCTTCTTAAGTTCCTCTTGCTCAGCCTGGGCCTTCTCGAGTTGCTCCTTGGCGCTGGCGAGCTCGGTCTTGATCTCGTCGCGCTCCTTGTTTGCGGTCTCGACGTCGGATGTCAGGGCGCTGGTCTTCTCCTCGTGCTCCTTGATGGTAGCCTGGAGAGACTCGAGGGACTTCTTAGCATCGGCAGCTTCGGTCTTGGAGGTCTCGAGGTCCTTGGTAGCAGTCTCAGATGCGGCGGTAGCCTCGTCCAGCTTGGTCTGAAGTGCGGTGAGTTCGGACTCCTTCGCCTTAGCGGCCTCAACGGTAGACTCGAGCTCGGCGATCTTAGCATCGTTAGCCTTGATCTTCTCCTCGAGCTCGCTCTTCTCGGCAGTCGACTTCTCAGCCGATGCCTTGACGTCAGCGAGTTCGGATTCGACTGAGGACGCCTTGGAAGCACCCTCCTTCGCCTCAGCTTCAGCCTGCTTGGATGCCTTGAGTTCCTCCTCAACAGTGTCCTTGGCCTTCTTGGTCTCCTCAAGCTCCTTCTCCAAAGCAGCGACCTTCTCATCTCCAGATGATTGGGCAGCCTTGATGGAGTCGGCGTGCTCAGCTTCCTTGGCAGCAAGCTTGCTCTCGACGTCCTTGAGGGATGCCTCGAGCTCAGCAGCCTTGCTAGCTTCAGCTTTAGCATCAGCAAGCTCCTTCTCCAGAGCAGCAAACTTGTCGTCGCTTGATGATTGAGCAGCCTTGAGCGATTCGGCGTGCTCAGCTTCCTTGGCCTCCAGCTTGCTCGTGGTCTCCTTGAGAGATGCCTCAAGCTCCGCAATCTTGGCAGCAGACTCATCGGCACCACCCTTGGCGGAAGCCTCGAGCTCGCTAATCTTCTGCTTCGACGACTCTGAGTCCTTGGTAGCGGCCTCAAGTTCAGACTTGGCCGATGCGAGTTCCTTCTCAAGCTCAGAGACCTTGCCGACGTCAGCAGACTTGGCCTCGAGTTCAGACTCCTTTGCGGCGAGGCTCTCTTGAGCCGACTTGAGGGAAGCCTCCAGCTCCGAGATCTTGGAGGTAGAAGACTCAGTAGACTTGCTAGCGTCCGCCTTGGCGGCTTCCAACTCAGACTCCTTGGATGCAAGGCTGTCCTTGGCCTCCTTGAGAGAAGCCTCGAGTTCAGCAGCCTTGGAACCCTCGCTCTTCGCTGTCTCGAGCTCGGCCTTGTGGGCAGTGAGGTCGTCCTGTGCTTGCTTCAAGCTAGCCTCCAATTCCGAGATCTTCGAGCTGGAAGACTCAGTAGCCTTGGTGGTCTCGCCCTTGGCAGCCTCAAGTTCAGATTCCTTGGTTGACAGGCTCTCCTTGGCCTCCTTGAGCGATGCCTCGAGGTCAGCAATCTGTTTTTGAAGACCCTCAGCATCGCCCTTGGAAGACTCGACGGCCTTGCTAGCCTCCTCTTTCGCGGCAGCAACCTCTGATTCCTTAGCGGCCAAGCTGTCGTGGGCCTCCTTGAGCGAGGTCTCGAGTTCGGTAACCCTGGAGGTGGAAGCCTCTGAGGCCTTGCTGGACTCGTCCTTAGCAGCCTTCAACTCAGCCTCAAGCTTCTCAACGGTCTCGCGGAGCTCGGCAGCCTCCTTCTTGGCAGCGGTGGTTTGTTCATCGGATGAGCCCTTGGCGGACTCGATCTCAGCCTCAAGCTTGCTGACAGTGCTTTGGAGACCAGCGACCTCGTCCTTTGCGGAGCCAATGGCCTTGGATGCATCACCCTTGGCGGTCTCGAGCTCAGCGTCCTTGGCGGAGAGGCTATCTTGCGACTCCTTGAGGGATGCTTCGAGTTCGGAGATCTTGGAGGTGAGGCTGTCAACCTGGCCCTTGGCCTCTTCGGCAGCCTTGACGGCGGCGTCCTTCTCGGAAGCGAGGGAGGATGAAGCAGCCTCGAGCTCGGATGTCTTTGCTGAGAGGCTGTCTTGTGCCTCCTTCAATGACTGCTCAAGAGAGGAAACCTTTTGAGCAAGCTCATCGGAGTCACCCTTGGACAGATCGGCGGTCTTAAGCTTCTCCTGGAGTTCGCTGATCTCGGTCTTCAGGCCATCGACCTCGCCCTTGGACGATTCGGTGAGCGATGTGACTTGTTCAGTGGCCTCAGCGTGTTCCTTGGTCTTGGCGTCGAGCTCAGAAGCCTTCTGGTCAAGAGTATCCTTTGCTTCCTTGAGAGAAGCCTGGAGCTCCGCAATGGTGTTGCGAAGACCCTCAGCCTCCTCTTTCGATGCCTTGTCAGCATCAGCATCCTGGGTGCCGCGGGCAGCGAGCTCGTCGGAGAGCTTGCTGTGAGAAGCCTCGAGCTCGGTGTGCTTCGCCTTGAGCTCCTCCAGGTCGGAAAGCTGGGTCTTGAGAACGGCAACCTCAGCGGCGAGCTCCTCGACCTTGGTCTTGTGCGCGTCACGGTCAGCTGCGAGGGTGTCGAGCTCATCCTTGGCGACAGTCTGAGCCTTGAGCTCGTCAATCGTGGCAAGAGCCTCGGCGAGGTCCTTCTCAGTCTTGCTCTTCTCAGCAGTGAGCTCCTCCAATTGCGACTTGGCGCTGGCGAGATCAGCCTCCTTGGCCTCGACTTCCGACCTGTCAACCGACTCGGCGCCGGCAGACTGGTGGCTGTCGAGCATGCCCTTGAGCTTCTCAACCTCGTCCTTGTAGGAGGCGACCTGCTTCTCGAGGTCGGCAACCTTTGCGCGGAGCTCCTCAGCCTCCTTGTTGACGTCCGCCATCTTCTCATTGAACTCGGCCTCGCACTCGTCGCGCACAGTATTCCTCTCCTTGGCCTTGGCCTCGCGTACCTGCTGGACAACGACGCTGACCATGTGCTCCTCGAGGTCCTTCTTGTCCTGCTGCAGCGACGCCTCACGGGCCTCGAACTCCTTCTTGCGCTCCTCGTGGTCGCCCTCGAGACTGCGCACGTGCTCGTCTTGTGTAGCAGCGATGCGTTGTGCTTCGTCAAGCTCGTTCTCGGCGTGCTTGAGCTTCTTCTTCAGCTTCTCGATTTGCGTCTCGAAGCTGTCTGAGGCTGTTGGCGAAGGAGGTGAGGGCGAGTCTGCTGCTGAGGAAGGATGGGTCAGTATGTTGTGAGCGGGTAGGTGGTGCAGCGGAGACGCCCGCGAATGAAGGGAGAGCGGATAGTGAGGAGGGGCTGTCGATATTGTTATCGGGCAGGTGGGGGGTGAGTTCACGGTGAGCATCACGTACCTGCTTCATCTTCACTTAACCGTGTAGGCGCCTCGCGCGGTGTCTCTGGTGGGGTGTCCACGCCATTGTCCGTCTTACTCGACTCGACCACGCTCGGAGGTGTGGCGTCCGTTGTTACCGCTGGTGTAGCTGGTGAAGCTGTTGCGGGCACCGGTGCGGGTCCGCCGAAGAAATAGTTGTACGCCCTCTTCATGCTGCTGGTCCGCTTGGGGAGTCCTGGTCGCAGGGAACTCGTCGATTTTCGACCTCGACGTTCTTCTGGCTGGCTTTGCTCGCCAGTCGTCGGTACGGGTGCAAAGGGTTCTACGACTCCGCCTCTCTTATTATTGCTTATCGTTCGTGGTGGTAGCAGGCGTCTGCTAAACTTCTGAGATCCCGACTGGATATCAGCGAGGATCTGCTTCTGCTCTCTCGAAGAGGCTCTGGGATAAGACGTTAGTTGTCGTCTTTATAGGTAGTAAACAATGGCAACAAAGCATTTGATGTTTCGCATCTAGGCATATACGAGGAAGAAAAAAAATATTTAGGACATGCCGCACCACAACGTGGTATCGTGGCAGAGAGAGAGCTTCTTACCAAAAGCAACAACAAGAAAAGAGTTCGTGTATCGTAATGTCCTCAGACAGATGGAGCAGTGATGAGGGGTGGATGGAGGGGAGGCAGAGGGGAGGATGACGGGTAGCACTCACTCATAGCTTTCTTTCCTGCCCCAGCTCGGCATGATTCACGCTCTACTGCTATCAGTTCCCTCTGTTGAAAGCGCCACTGTTTCCCGCGCGAGCCAGTCCAATCAATGGGGAAGAAAATTTTGTTGCCCTTTCTGAATTTGGGCGGGCCGTCCAAGTCTCCTCACCGCACGGTAACGAAATGGAGCTTTACTTATGTACAAGCACAACAACACGTTGGATCCTGCATGCAAGCCTGGTGGATTGTCGGGCGCTAGACGTCCGCTACGAGGTATATACATTCTCGAGGGGAGGCACGAGCCAGTCATGTACTCTGCTACTCACGTAGCACATTAGCATGGGCGAGGCTGGACAGGCATTAATGCAAGCACAACGCAGATGGATGTCGAGGCCGAGGGCACCAGGGCCCTTGTCCGAGCTCCCAAGCGGTTCCACCTTGCTTCTTACCGCCTCGACTAGGGTCTGCCAGGGCTTCCTCGACGCTTCCCAGCGTGCTGACTACCCAGCCCTGGGGGGTGTTGATGATGAGGATGCCGTTGCTTTTGACAGGCAGTCATGACTTTGATGAGGTATCGCGACCTTTGTACTCGCCAACGTCCTCAACACACGTCGTCTCCACCCCATCAGCTGGCGAGACCTTGTACCAATCACAGCCATGCACGTCAGTACCACCACGTAGGTCGCGTCAAAAAACATGCCACGAGCTCCGGGGAACGGCATTTGAAGCTGTCATCGCGCGGCAAACTTCGATTCTAGGAAGTTGGGCGAGCAATCGATAAGCAGCCAGCCAGCACATCTTCGCTGATCGTAGCCGACGTCGTAGGGCTCGCGCACGGTCACGGTCATGGCGCGTCGACGTGTGACTGTGACTCGGCATGATGTTATGCGAACCCCAATGGCTTGCAGGTACACGGTCTTTCTTTTGCAAGAGTCGTTTCGTCTCGTCAAACTCGAGGCAACCACTGAGGCACGACACCTTGCCCAACTCTGAGACAAGGACACTCTTGACGCGCGCCCGCGCGCGCAAACGTCATGCAGGGCTTTTCCTAATGGGCGGTCGAAGCGTTGATGCGTTGTTCGATCGGATCCGCTGAATTAATTCTTGCCCAGTCAATTCGACTCGCCAACCCTCTCTCGGACCGTCAACTTTCCATCTTCAACCTCCGTCACCTCGCCGAAGCCGCCTTGAAATCCCGAAAGTGGCTGTGATCGTTGCTTTCCCCAACCTCTCCTCTTAGCCCCAACACAATCGCATCGCCTTGTCTCGCGCAGTCTCTTCACCGCAAAACCACTGCACCCCAGAACCTAGTCACTCACGGACTGGCCCTGCATAACCGCACCCCACCCGTTGACAAGGCGCCGCGCTAGCCAGGTCAGCACTCGCGTTCTTTGCTCCACCGCCTCTTCGCATCAACGTCGTATCGTGGCGCGTGAGTAGAGAAATCACGGCAGAAAAAGTCTTTCGGCTGCCTTGTCGAGGTGACACCGCCAGTGAGGGGTTGCTTGGGCTGGCATGTGATTGTCAAGTGGCGACGGCATTGGAGGCATGGCTGATCTTGGACGTGAACGATGCTAGAATGTTCCTTGATCCTCTAGGTTGTGCAAGTAACTCGTGATATAATGATATTGGTGCTCTTAAACTACAGAAACTCCCATCCGTGGATGTATACTCCGGACCTCTAACGCCGTGACTATGCTGAGACTCTGATGTCTAAGGAATGATAAGGAAGACTATGTACAGCACCCACTGAGCAAACACGCGGGGAAGGAAGACAACGACACCCACCGCTAAACCAATGTACCGACGCCAACGCAATTCAAGCGGACCGTTGTCGCCTGATTACCGAACGACCAGATCGCCGCGAGTGTCTTCGCGTGGAAGGCCCGCCTGCATGCGCAGTGCCCTCTGCAGACGTGGTCTGTGGAGAAGACTCGCTTGGACTCTCAAGACCAGAGGCAGACCGACGAGTGTCCGTTCCTGTTCGCTGAGGCCGGGGGCTAAGAAAGGAAGATACACGACGTGCCGCTTCAGTATTGGCTCTGCCGCTGAGGATAATCTCTGGTGATTGAGTCTCGGCCGATTCTGATCGAGAAGCAAGTTCACGACTAACACGTCTCGCCTCTCGTAATACCTCTCTGCTTGTCCTGAATCGGTCACTCCCTAGCCATATACATGAAGATTAGCTTGATATAACCGACATAAGGGTATTATCCCTATTGCGGAGATCCAAACAGACCCCTGCGTATCCGATCACTGATGCCACCATTACCCGGGCCTGCATTTGCGTTATCAGAAGAGCTGCCCTGATCGTTGGACGGTGGGGGTGGAGATCCTGCGGGAACGACGTAGGGATCATTGAACGTTCCCGAGCCGGAAGGAGTGAAGGAGCCGGGCATCTGGGACGTACGATCCGTCTGTGAGTCTGCAGACGCAGGGTTGTTCGTCTGGCCCTCGCCACCCTTGGTAATACCCTTTCGACAATGAGGACAGGTGTCGTGCTCGAGCAGCCATGCGGATACACATGGGTGGTGGAACCAATGCTTGCATGGCAGTAGCGTGACCTGTTCGCCGATGTTGACCTCATCCATGCATATACTGCATTCAGCCTTGTGTTCTTCGCCTAGCATCTCTTCGGTCACATTAGTACGAGGAAGGGCATCGATATCGGCTTGCGTCGCAGGTCCAGGCGCGTTGCTGGTTGAAGTTTGTTCCATCAGTTGAGAAACAATGCGGTCTAGGCCCTCTTGAGAGTAGACAAAGTCTCCCATGTTACTAGCAGGGCCCATCATACCCATTGAGGAGAATAGTTGTAGGATAGGGTGTCCCGCGAACTGATCGCCAGCGCCATGAGTGTGTTCACCACGGAAAGTACCCTCGGCGCCGCCTAAGGGGTGGTTGTGGGCTTGGACGCGAGGAGGCGGTGCACCAAAGGTAGCCAGGAGACCGGTCAGGACACTGCATACTGTCAGCGGTGACCGACCAGGGTGGTTCGCTCTTACTTACTTGGTGATCTCATCCACAGGCTCAGCCCGCCCGGGGTTGTTTCCTCCTCCAGGGAACAGACGAGCGCCACCGTGATATGTAAAGGTCCCTCCGCGGATTTGAGGTCCACCACCTGGACCCTGATTTTGAGCTTCCTGGAAAGCAGACTGGTTCGGGTTGGACCCTGGTGCGGCGCCAGAGAACAGACCCTCGCCCTGGCCCTGTGCTTGACCCTGTGGTGGTCGTAATCCAGCTCCGGTAAGCCCGTTCAGCATGGCCATAAATCCGCCTATAGACCCTGGCACCGGCATGCCGCCCTGTGGTGATACAGAGCGGGTGACGGTAGCCTGCAAGTTGTACCTTCCCGGTCCCGTCTCTGTCCATCTAACATTGCTAATATCCCCCTCCTCTGGGTCATCAGTCTGCCATGGGTTGTGATGCGGATTCAGATGGGGTGGGGCGTTCTCGAGGTCAGGCAGAGAGTCGGACTCGTCGCCGTCGTGGCCAAACATTCCGGTGCCGGCCCTTGGGTCATTGTTATCTTCAATCTGATCAGTGTTAGCGGAAATCGGTGCATATTCGCTTCATCTCGTGTCGAGCGAGCTAAAAGCTGATTTCCGCGGCTGAACTCACAATCTCCGTGAAATCTGAGCCGCATTCTGGACACGACAGACCGTGTTCGTCCCGATACCATTCGTCGGCGCACTCGTGGCAAAACATCATGTCGCGATGTCCGGGTCGTTGGTTCTGTGACGGCGCATTCTGATCGCTGGACTGATCCATGGTCGCGAGTCTGAGACGGATATGATGAGACGTAGGGTAGTAGGATAAGATGGATTGAGGCTGAGAGGGATAAGTAAGCCGGAAGTGACGTTCGAGCAACGGGTATAAACTCACGGCCTTGTGTCGGAAGTAGGCGCGGAAGAGGACCAACTCAATCACTTATCATGCGCTATTGCCAGTCCAAGCAGTGACGTGGTGGCGAGCTGCAACAGCAGACAGGTACTGGGTCAAGTAGCGGAATGCGGAGACACCTGAAGGGGAGTAGTTTGGCGTAGCAGAAGCTCTAAAGCAAGGCCTGCTGTAAAGTAATCGACGTTTGGCGCGAAAGTTGTCAGGCCGGAATGACGTTATTCGATGAGCAGGGGTAGTGGGGGTCTAGCAATTCGTCCCGCAGTATCTTGAGATGGAGGGAGCTAATTCAGCACCTTGCCTTTTGGGGTCAATAATTTATGGGAATGGAAGTGGAAGAGAGACGGAGGCAAAGTCCCTTGTGTGTCTTGTTGAACGCGGTAGCAGTTGATTGTCTTGCTCTGACTCTACGTTTGTTCGACTTGTTGTCTCTTCCCGCTTCTTCCATGTTCCATCTAGTTCTGAAGCCTTCTATCAGCCATAGATCACCCAACACAGAGTATACAGCATGCGGTGCGAGTCTGGCGCGATCGCTTGCATAGTAGGAGAGCTTTGTATATACAGATATCAATAATTGCCATAAATTATAGCATCCCAGGCAAAGGTATAGAAAACCGCCAAACGCCTATGCATGTACTCATCAACATGATTGCGGACCTGGCCTGACACATGATCCAAACGACATTGCGCGTGTCATGGACTTGCGAGGACGGTGCCCGTTCAGTTCCTTCGAGGGCCACCCCTCAGCAAGAGGCTTCCCACCACCCCCGCAGCGACCACGATTCCTCCCACAATGGCGGCGCCCACTAACCCCTCCTTTGCGACCTTTTCGTCAATAAGTCCCTTCAAGCTTCCAGCCTGGAGGTTCGCGGGCTCCAACTCCAGCAACAGCTCGTTGTACCGTCGGGCTTCAGCATAGTTGCCGAGCTTGTAGTTGCCTAGGGCGAGGTAGTAGAGGCATTCGCGCCGGCGCTCGCGCGAGTTGCGGAAGATCTCAGAGAGGAGGCGCACTCCCTCCTGTTGGTCGGGACGTGAGGAGGATTTGATCAGACCCTAGAATGCTATGAGCTTGCTTGTTGCAGGAGGTGCCGTGCGCATGTGAAGATATCACCAGACGCGGGGAAGCCGTACCCATGCGTAGTTGAACTTTGTCTGGAGCCCAACATATTCACCCTCTTTCTCGTACTGCGCGCGCAGAACCTGTAGTTCCTCTGGCTTCAGCGGCGACTCAACATCGGCGGCATCTAGAGGATATAAGCGTTCGTCGGCCCAAAAGTCGTTGTCCCACTCACATGGTAATGAAGGCGGCATAGCGGCTGTTTGTGTTGCGCAAGAAAATTGGGGAGCTGTGTCTTCTGAGGAGGCGAGGACTGCGGGCTGGTATCGTGGGGATGGCTTTTAGTGCAAGTGGTAAGCGTCAAACTACCGGCTGTCTCGTGAAAGCTCCTGCTGCAGGCCGAGCAGGCGATCTTTTACCGTGACGTACGCCTCGTGGCTACGGGCGCTTACGCCACGCTACGCCTGCGCCTTCCGCCACTTGGTCGCGGTTGCCATGCACGCGACCCAGCACGGGCCATACAAACAAGAACATCAACACCATAGGGCTGTCGCGATAGACATCTTCGTATACTGATCAGATAAACTTGCGCAAATATCCGATAATACTTCAAGCGATCACACTATATTTTCGTGTTTTCCACGACACACAACAATTCAACATGCTTCTCGACGAAGATCCCGCTGCCGTATGCACCCTTCTCACGCACCCCTAAACCAAACTCCCCTAACAATCTCCAGCTCATCGCACAATGCACGTCACACTTCAAGATTGCCAATGACAAGACGTCGCTTCATCGCATAAACGAATCCCTCAGCACACTCAGCGAATTCCGCACCCAGCACCTACGTTCCATCCAATCCTCCCTCAGCTCGCTGAACCGAACACACCAAACACTCTCCGCGAACCACAACCACACCCTCAGCCAACACAACCCAACAAACCATGCGGCGGAAATTCTGAGGCTAGACACAGAGAAGTTCAAGATCGCGAAGCAGGCGAGTGACCTGGAGATTGAGGGCGAGAGGCTACAGAGCGATCTGGCAAGATTAGGGGGTGTAGCTGGCGAATTGGAAGAGGAGGGCGTAGAAGGCGGCGTTGAACCCAGAGCGGGTGAGGATGCGACAGTGTAAGTTCAATCTGCCATAGGTGAGGGGGCTCAAATACTGACAAGAATTTTAGATTGAAGCTCAAGCTCTACCGCACCCTTGGCATCGACGTTGAGGCCGACCCTACGACCGGCGAATACAACAAGGCTGTCATTCGCAACGCCACCAAGGGCGACGTACATGTCGTAAACATCGATCCCAAGTTCTCACGGCACTTCTACACAAACTACTTCTGGAGAACAATGTAAACCAGGAGCTGGGTTTGTGTACGGGCTGACGTTTGCATGAGTATTAGCATATGTCTTAAGGAAGATAACGTTACAGAAGAGGTTGGTATGCGCCTTCTGGGTTAGGTGCTTGGTTATGATTTGCTTTCTAAGATACCTCTGGGATTATGGCGTTCTTGGGTACATGTTACATATGAAAGTCACGTCACACACACTTGAAAGATGAGGATGAGTGATACTGAAAACTAGCTGATCGAGTCATCTTTACAGTTGCAGTCGAAAAGACCCCCGTGTCATCTGGATTTACGGATTTGAGCCGCAATGCCGGAGAGAATGCAATTCGTTTAGAGCTGTGCAGTACGCATGCGCCTCGTCGCGTTAGCGCAGATGCTGCCCTGCGCCTTCTTTGTCAGCATCCTGGCAGCCTGATTGACAGACCAGGCTGTGCGAAGTGTTTTAGACTCTTCTGCCAACTACCTGATTATACAATTTCACTGTCTCGTCTAATCTGCGCCTATTGTCGGATACAGCTGGAGGGAAGATCTCGCGATCTCGAGGAGCGGACACATCATGGAGCAACCTCAGTATCATACATACTCCGACGCAGAATCCGCATTTTCTAGTACAGAATCGGAGGCTTCTGACGAAACAGCCAAAGCGGAGGCCATTTTGGCAACACTCCGACGCACATACGCTGATTACAAGAAAGCTTACCCCCAAGGTAACTTGTGCCAACGTTGTGCTTGCATAAACTGGACAAATCTTGTCTCCAATCAAGCCCTTCACGATCGCGAGAGTTGGGATGGTTTGGCTTTGCTCTGCGTGCCAGAGACAAGTCAGGAGCTCTCTGCATCGTCCTGTCCGCTGTGTCGACTAATGAGCTCCGATCGAATGTTCGGAAAGGACCCCGATCGAGCCCTTTTCGTGTACAACGCCTGCTACACTGAGGAAGATTCCAAGGGTCATGATCAGCAAGATTGGAGGCAGTATGCCCCAGGTCTCAGACTAGAACATATTCGTGCTCCTCAGACGAGATTTCAGTCTGCTGATCAAGAGTACATTCTACAAGACGCGTGTCAGGGTACCCAAGGCTACCTGCTCCGCAAGCTCGGCCCTGAGATTATTGATTACGAGATTCTTCAATGTTGGCTTAGGTACTGCAAGCGCCATCATACAGGGTGTACTCAAACCTACGATTGCTTTATTCCTGGCCTCAAAGTCATTGACTGCACCACTGGAAACGTCATCGATGCACCTGAGGATGAAGCATTCCATTACGTAGCCTTATCTTACGTCTGGGGTGGTGCACAAAGCTCTGGAACATATCATGGCAAATTTCCAGGGACGATATGCGATGCCATCACCGTTACGGTACAGCTAGGATACAGATACCTATGGGTTGATCAGTACGTATGTAATTCTTCTTTCCTTCAATCATCTAGACACAGCTAATCACAAGTACAGTGTATTAACCAGCTGGCTGCGGGACACAAACAAGCTCAGATACAACTCATGGGCCGCATTTACGCCGAGGCAGAGCTAGTCATCATTGCTGCAGCTGGCAGCTCGTCCAATTATGGACTGCCCGGTGTTGGTACCAAAGCCCGAAAGGCACAGAGAAGAGCACGACTAGAAAACGATGTTGAGATGATCGAAATGAACGAATCGGATCATGAACTACACACGAGTACGTGGGCGCAAAGAGGTTGGACTCACCAGGAGGGCTATCTGGCGACACGTAGACTCGTATTCACAGACAAGGAAGTCTTATACGTATGTAATCAAGGAACGTGGCAAGAGTCTGTGCAGCGGCCTGCGGTGGGCAACAACAGGGGCCACTTGACGATGCTCAATAACTGTTTTCCTCCAACGGCTATTTCCCCGGATAATGCTCACAAGATCGTCTACGATGTTCTCGATGATTACTCGAACAGAGAGCTGTCCTACGATAGCGACATTCTCAATGCCTGCATTGGTGTATTGAATAGACTCGTGGGCCATTACCATTTCTGGGGAATGGTAGCCCCACGCTTGGATTCTGGACAGTGCATTCCGCTCTGTCTGGGTTGGCGCAGCTGGATTCCTGGCAAAAGAAGAGAGGGTTTTCCGTCTTGGTCCTGGGTGGCGATCACCGGGTCAAAATGGATCCCAAGATCCATATTGGAAGATCACAGGGAAGGTTATGTTGCGTACATACGCACAACTGATGGACGCTGGTTGCTTCCAGAAGAGCAGACCGAAAGTCAATGTGACCCTTTACCCATGAACTTTGGTCCTACTTTACGTCTTCGAGCTACGCTCTACACAGCTTCCTTGAGCACGCATACAAAGTATGGAGCATCTGAGACACACGACACTCAATCAGACCATGAACTAGACAATGAACCAGTGGTCGTTTTTCAGTCCACTGATGGAGAGAGCGAAGAAATCGAACTTGTTTTCAAGCTGTGGCTTGACACTGAACTCACAGAATTGGACTTGAATAACACTGTCAAAGCGATACTGGTCTCTGACAGCACTAGAAAAGACAGGGACATAGAACCATATTCACTTGGTCCCGCTTTCATGATCCTCCAAGCAGTAGGACAACATTACAAGAGGATCGGCATCACAGACTATGAGCATCGCTGCTGGATCCTAAAAAAGGAAACAGGGATGATCAGAGAGAAGCCTCGTGGTCTTAGATTATCATACGAGGCCTGTACAGGCAGCGAGGAAGTCATATATATTGAGTGAAGCTCTGTCACACTTAGAAATCGGTATCAACGTAGAAAATCGGATGGCTAGAGCGTAGAAACATAACATGATTGATGTCCCGATGCATTGCCTTATCCTGCACCCCATACAAGAGAAAACTGAGCGGGTAGGGATAACAAGCTCTACTTTGCAGCTTACATTAGCTGCTAACAAGAGAGATTATGAAGACTAACAGTACTGTAGACTTCTAGATTCTCTATATTTCTACATAGCTCTAATACGCTTTGTTGTAGTAGGAAGGAGTACTCTGCTCGAGAAAGGTATTTAGTTTCTCTCTTTGGCGTAGTGGTGATTAGTCGTTTTCCATCTCAACGTCATCGGTAAGCAACTCAAGCGCATTCTGTACCATGCGACCCGACTCTGGCCTTGCTTACAGTATCTTTCTCCAAGTATAGCTCACGTTGAGATCCAACGGTGGATGGAAAAGGAGTAGTTTCCTGAGCCAAGCCTTACACGTGTAGCAGCATCAAAACTCCAGCAGCTTAGACCGGCCAATCTTCACACACGTTATCGCCCAGTTCTGCCTGTGTTGGGCTCATCCGCGCCCCATATAGTGTTAGTTGGGTGAAGGATCTCACGACTTCCTAATCCGGACATTCAACCGAGTGTTATGAACTGCTGTGCCTCAATATAAACACTTAGCTGCAGAACTCACTACCAGAATCTCGTTAGCTTTCATAAAGAAAGCATAGACCACTTCAACTTCCATGCAATGTTTGCTCAATAGGGAAGCCTGAGGCACGGTCACCGCTTAAATCACTCGTGATACCTAGTGTTTGCCTAGCGTGATATGTATGGTTGCCTCGATTGAACGATTGTTAACAATTTGCGCCGCCAGATACCCCTTGACCTTCTCATTTCATTGCGGCCGTACAAGCGCGCTTCAAATCGAACTACGTCTTACGCCCGCTCAATGCTCACATTCCCAATATATTAACATCCGTATTACCCCCGAAGTAACACCACGCTCTTAACTACCTTCCTAAGTCTCAACCCCTTCTCTAATAACGCGCATTATCAGCCAAGAAGCACCTACAACATGCAATTCTTCCTTCCATTCCTCGCTCTTCTGACCACCCTTGCCAGCGCTGCGCCAGTCGTATGTGAAATCCTCTTCCTATCAATATTCCGTTCAGGACATGTTCTAACGCGTCGCAGGCCGAATTGCAAACCAGACAAAGCGGCGCTGGTGGTATCATCTTCAAAGACCAAAACTTCAAGGGCGAATCAACTTTTATCCCTGGTAACTTGTATTGTACCGACGTAAACAACATCTTCGGCAACTTCGATGGCAAAGTGCGCAGTATCAAGTCGCTGCCAGGTTACCAGTGCCAGTGGTACATGTAAGTCTCTCTCCTGCAATTAGTTTGTTCCAAACTAACATCCAGTAGCGGCTACGGCTGCCCTGCCAACGGTGTCAAGCTCGACTTTGGCAGCAAGAATGCGTACGTGAGCAAGGGAGACCTGGGCCCAACCTTTGACCGGAATATCCACAGCGTATTCTGCACACCTAAGAAATAATTCTCGTACGGTATTCAAAGATGTGTCTTTGAGTAATTCAGTAGCCGTACACAGGGCGTAGCGGTGTCAGGCCTGCGGCATGGATTGCGACCCTGGCCTATCAACTCACACCAGTCTCTTAGGTCAGTTGTGTCAGTTCTCTTATCCGATATGAGAGGTATGAATTTTTAATAGTAATTTTACAATTACCAATCTAAACCTTTTGAAGTAGTGAAAGATCTTCCTATTCTGCAGTCGTGCAGCATAGGTAGGCATTTAGACCTGGTGACCAACTATCGCCTAAGACCGGACATGAAGAGTTGGGCGTAATGGCATGAACGCCCGTTGGGGTTGCATAGTTGTTGGTGTGAGAAGGGATGAGCATGCAGGAGAATGGGGACAAGACGGGTGGACGGGCGGGTGAGACCGCCGCTGTTGTTGGCACTAACCCTGAATGAAGCTACTAACCCGCCCCACTGCAACCCACACAGTCGTTCGCTCTCCGTCAAGTGCCATCCTCATTCATCACCACGCCGCACTGCAATTCCGAACACGTCTTTACTCGAGAAGACACGCTGCCTGCACTGTCGCGATACCCGGAGACCGAGGCCCCGCTTCTTCACTGTACTACCACTACACCTCGAGTACGATTTGACAGTCTCAATCCACGTCAGCACGTCTAGTGTTTGGGAGGTTGCATACGAAAAAGCTATCACTCAGTAAAATATGCGAGGTGATGTGTCTCATGGATTGAACTCAGATTGGTAGCCCACTGTGTGATACACCATACTTTCGTCGTCGTTTGGGGCCCCACACCTTTCATCGGCGTTTGTGGCTGCGTACTCATCCAACAACGCCGGCTCATGTTTACTCAGCATTGCGCTGATCAAACTTCCTCACTAATTGCAGTCAGACATCTGCCTCGCATACAGTTACCGAAATGCATTGTCAAGCTGCTCGACAACATGATTATACCGGATGGTACACGCAACTTTGGCAGGCGGTTGGGATCAAGATCAAAAACCACGCAGATGCATTGCCCCTTTTCTATCGAATCGTCTCTATTTAAATCGATTCTCTTTCACTCTCGCTTGGTGACAGTCCGTGAATAATCTGGTAAGTGCTCGTTCGGAATAGATCCATATGCTTCAACTTGGACTCATCATAGAACGCCATTGCAACAGAATCATGGCTTCTTGCGCGTATGCAGACCTTTTACGCCCGATTCATCCTCTTCCCAAATAATGCGCGCAAGTTTCAGAAAGTAAGAGCCGGTCTCAGAAATGATTGTTTGTCTGAAATATCACGAACCACTCTTCGACAAATCCAGAACACCAAGTTCAAGAACGAAGAACTAGAGGATCTGCGGGCTGTCACTGGAAATCAAGCACCAGACGAGACCAGAGTTGTCTAAGATCGGTGTTATTGAGCGTATGAAATGCGGCACAGCAAGGTGTACCTCTAGTCGTGTTTCAAATCCTTCGGGCCTCATTATCGACCTCGCTGACCGCGACCGCCAGATTCATCCGTCTTATCTGGCCCTTGCCCTATCACATTTCTTGATTTGACTTGGAGTGCTATCTGGCCTATCATCACAGGTAGCGATGGCGGAGGAATGGTTCATCAACCAGCAACCACAAGACAGTGCCCCAAGCCTGCATACAAACCCTATGATGTAGTCATTTCTCGTTGTACAGTACGGCAGGAGCCATACGGGACGGGACGGGCGCCTGATCGCTTGCTGTGGAGACCATAAAGACACTGTCCACGTCCTCGGGACTACTGTGTCAGCTCTGTTCTCTCCAAACGTACCAACATATCCTATAGCTCCGATTTAACTCGTGGGCTTTGTATTACAGGCGAAATAGCAGACATTCCACTATGAAGTCCTTCACAGCGCATTCTTGGCTCGAATTCTGGTTCTACGGGCTCTATCCTGCACTTATGGTCACACTGACATGCATCGGTGTCTTGGCCACATTGGCTTTGTGGCCCTTCCATATGAAATCCACATCACAGCTGTGTGAGAGATGCAAGTCAGTAGATGATAGTCCTTGAGTGTGTTGTATGCTAAGCAAGTTATAGGCAAAGAGAGAAGAGTGATGATACGGAACGAGTCTCCACAAGCGCGACTTTTACCACCTCAGATGCTCGCCTTCACCCACATCAGAAGGTCTTTGAAGCAGAGCCGAGTAAGTCTCAACACCCTGCTTTTCGGTACTCGTTCATACCGCCTTCGCCTTTTGGAGCCGGAACCCCAATTCGAGTGCCCTCATTCCGCACATCGTCCCCATGCCAACCCGATGGAACGCCTGTACGCGTTCGCTCGCTACGACATTTCCTACTTCCACCACCTCTCAGCCGCCATCGTGCAGATGGAGAGCAGGGTTCTGATGGCGCCCGGACACCTGATAAAACGCCGAGTGTCAGTAGACGACTAAGTGCTGTTGCGGAGGATACGGTAGATGCTATTATGGTTTAATTCGATCGGCAAAGGTGAAGCAACTACAGGGCGCTAAAGCACATACAAAGTTACGTCATATCCAATTCGGTATCAATCTAGAAGCATTACAATCCACACTACGATGAGATGAACAATGTCAGAAGGCCTTGCATGTTTAAGACGAAGTCATGTAATTACTCGGAACCAAACATGGTTTATTGACACGCGATTGACAAGCCACTTTTCCGATGGTGAGCTATGGAGGTTCCCGACTTCGGCATGGATGTCCACTTCAGGATGGCAGATCCCCCGCCAAGGCCTACCGATGCTACCCGAAATCTCGCATCTGAGGAATCCATTTCTTGAAGCTTGAACTTCGCTATTCCGACAACACGACCATATGGCTGCCCCAAGATTGCCATTCCTATGGCCTATGCTGTTCCAGCCGGCGAAATCGCCACGCGTGCGCGCTTCGATAGCAAAGGAGAATGCGTCACGCACGCGACGAGCACGTCGTCATCTCACGACTTCATCCCGCCGGCCGGAGCAGTCGATCCCGCAGCGATACGGAAAGGCGTATGAACATACAGCTCCAGCATTAGAACAAGAGCCGCCGAAGGAACCTCAACAAAAAGACCCAGCGACCGCGGAGAAACCTCCACAAGACCCCGTTCACGAACAAGAAGAAGTAGAGGAAGATGCGCCAACAGCGACTACCAGTCCATCCACGCCCAGCAAGACCAGCGCGACTGAGGAGATTGAGCCGCCCAAGACTCCAGTGCCTGATCCTCCAAAGACGGGCGATCCGAAACCCCTCGATAGCGTCCTCCACATTCCCACCGCCGCGGAAGAAGAGTCTCACAAGGCACCGCACTTGAAGACGCCACCATATGTCCACCACTTTGACACTTATGGTCTCGTCCGCAAACTCTCGCAATCGTCATACACCCCCGAACAATCCATTACCATTATGAAAGCTGTGCGACAAACGCTTTTGGATAACATGGCTTTGGCGCGCGAAGGTCTTGTTAGCAAGAGTAATGTGGAAAATGACACGTATCTTTTCCGCGCGGCATGTAGTGAATTGAAGACCGAAATTGGAAATGCGAGGAAAGGAGAGATGGAGAGGATGCGCACGGAGAGGGGACAATTGCAACACGAGGTCGATATCCTGGGGCAGAGGCTGGGACAGGAGACAGGTGGGCTGAGAGACGAGCTTAAAGGGCTTTTTGATGACAGGAAAATGGCCGTCAGGCAGGAACAGAGACACATGGAGACGAAGGTATGTCAAGTCTTGCTCTGGCTTGTGCAAGATACGTGTACTGACATTCTGCTAGATCCAAGAACTCAACTACAAGATCACAGTTGCCCTCAACTCTGACGCGCGCTCCGAGGTCGAGGGTCTCCGATGGGTGCTTACGCGCCGTGCAGCCATTACAGTCGGTGTCAGTGCATTTATGCTCTTCGTTGCGCTACGGTACACAAGTTACGTGCAACACCAGTTGCAGGAGGAGAAGAGGAGGAACCCACCGCCTCATCGACCCAGTCCGTTGGAGGATTTGGCGGATCATACATCCACAGCGAGTAGACCGGTTGTGGATATTGCAAGCCCGACTCAGCAGGATGCGCTCGGTGGTGAGCTTTTGGCTACCGAGGGCGTGTCATTGGGTTGAGCACCAGCATATAACAAGACATTTGGATGCAAATGAACATGAGGCAGATGAGCCTGCATATATTCCATCTCTCAGCGAACCTGCGTGAACAAATCCCTACAGCTTATGCTTCTTCTCCCCACTCGCGAGTCTCGCAAACTCCTTCTGTGGCACGCCCTTCAAAAACCTCTGCAACCCACCCATAACCTCTTCCACACCCTGGCGATCCAACGCCTCCCTCATTGGTTTCTGAATCAACTCCTTGATCAACACTAAACTCTCGCTGTTGAGATGATCGCCCAGTCTCTCCTCAACCTCCTTCCTGACCTCGCCCAGAAACTTCTCACCGTACTGTTCGCTCTTGACATCAACTCCAGCTTCAATGACTTTGTTCACGAATCCCGTAGCTACTAGTTCGTCACACGTAATGCGTTTTGACATGATGAGCGCCTCGTTCGCTTTTGAAATGCCGAGGCGTCGGACGAAGCCTATGCTTGCATTTCCTTCTGCTACGAGACCGAGGGAGGAGAAGGGTGTGAGGAGGAAGGTATGTGGCGCAGCGTAGATGAAATCCGAGAACGCGATCAACGCAGCGCTGAGACCGACAGCTGGGCCGTTTAGGGCTGTGATGAGGATCTTGGGATGCGTGTAGAATGCATGTGTTATGTGTAGGTTGTTGGACACAAAGGACTTTAGGTACTGGTGTCTTTCGTCGATGGCACTGTCGTCGGTTTTGGAGCCAAAGGTTACGTCTGCGCCGGCGCTGAAGAAACGTCCCTTGCCTGTTAGGATGGTGATGTAGATGTCATCTCTGGCTGCGACTTCGTTCATGGCGCGTGCGAGCTGGTAGTATTCATCGGCACCCAGAGCGTTTAGTTTCTTGGGTACATTGAGAGTTATTATGGCGGTTTTGCCGTGGTAGGTCGTTAGGATGGGTTGGTCAGACATGTTGGGTGAGTGTTTGCTGTACAAGTGGTTGTGGTGTTGAGGTCTGGAATGGATGAGACGGAATAGAGCTCAAGATATTGTGCACGTCTGTAGGAGTCTTGGGGAGATTCTTAGGGAGATTCTTAGGTGAGATGTCATTGAACCGAGGCTAGAATGCGGAGACGGAATGAGCATTGTGAGCGCAACCGAACGCGACAGAGTGAGGTAGGTAGATGAGGAGAATGTGCGCATTATTATGATACGTTTGGAAGCTTTGAGTCTATTGCTGTGGAGAGTAGGAAATATCGCGCAAAAATTACACGCTTGGAGCGGAGAACGCATGTGAAGGACGCGGCTTCCCCAGCTTCGACGTGGGGAAACTGACGCGCTGGCTGAGGCTGGAGATTAGATCTATATAAGCTAATCGCCGAACCATCACCGACCAGATCTGTGCATCTTCGACTCCATCATCACTCCACTTGTGCGCCAAAGTTTCGAGCCGCGCCGCAAGTCGCAAACTACCCCAACCACAAACCGCAAAGATGGGTGGCCCTAATCTAGAAGTATTCAAGGTACGTACAACCCCCAGAAAACTCTGCGCAACATAATGGAAAGCGCCCACCACATAAGAGTCCCATTCGACTCATCATATTCCGATCAAAACCGAACCTGGACCCCTCTCGTGCGCGTAACTAACCAGACCTACCAGTTCGGAATGTACATTCTCTTCCCAATCAGCATCATGTACTACTTCGGCACAAATCTCGACGGCAAATTCACGGTCCCCGATTTCTGGCCCAAGCCAGGCCAGACGCACAAGATACCGTACGATAGGGATGAGATTGCAAAGGAGTTGGAGAGGTTGAAGCAGAGGAATCTGGAGAACAAGAGGAGAAGGGAGGAGCAGGAGAGGCTGAGGGAGCTGGGTACTGGAAGGGAGGAGTAGACATGGGGACTGGGCCGACGAAAGGCACCGAATGACAAATAAACAAGACGAGAAGCGACTATGAGACAGGCATGAAGTTACAGCCTAAAACGTCATGAAGTCACTTGCACAAAAGGCGCTGAGCACGGGGATACATCTTGTCCGCACCGATATCAGCGGTATTGTACAACACTGTATATTACAAAAATGTACAACAGCCTGGAGGGCCGGAGTCAGAGATCACGCGTTGACCTTGCCTCTCAATTCCTCCCAGACGTCATCTCCTATGCTACCTTTTGTCCAGTTCATATACACTCCTTGTACACCCTGCACTTCCTGCAGGTCATCCAGGAAGCTGTTCAATTCTTTGGCCGCTCCCTCATCCTCCAACGGTACCTTTGTATCCTCATTAGGATCGTAGATGATCTCACTCTCCTCGATCTCAAGATCTAGCTCCTTGGCCATTTTCTCCGCCGTCTTGTTTGTCGATGCAGGTTCTGTGTATAGCACGACTCTCCCTTCGGCATCCTCGTCGACATCCAATACACCAGCGTCTAAAGCCGGCTCTAGTACTTCGTCGACCCCAACACCATCTTTCTTTCGTAATATTATCCGACCTTTTTTCTCAAACATGAAGGCTACCGTTGATACACTGCCACCTGCCTCTTTTACAAGGAGGCGCAGGTCGGCTAGGGTGCGCAGCTTGTTGTCTGTTTGACATTCGACTATCGTGGCGATGGAGGGCGGTAAGATCGCTTCGAGTAGGACGTTCTCGAGAGCGGCACCTGATGCGGAGAGACCTTGCCCACGGGCTATTGCGGCTTCGATAGAGGCTTTTGGCACGGCGGACTTCTTTGCGGTGGAAATTGCAAGGGCAAGGCGGGGGTTTAGGTCGGGATTTGGGCCAGCGAGCTTGACGGCGTTGGTGATGTCGCGGGTCATGAGAGACCGCTGCTTGGATTTGCCAGCATCGTTTTTGGCTTTGTCATGTTTGATAGTCGCCCACTTGCTATGTTGTGTCAGAGGCGTGCCGTTGGATTGCGAGGACGACGTACGAGTGGCCTGATTGTAGATTTGGGGTGGTGCTCAAACATCGCACTTGTTCTTGTATGCGCCAATTCCTCGAGCGTGGGACATGTCGACAGGAGCAGGCTATCGCGCTGTCCTTTGAGATAGCAGATAATACTGCACGGCGAACTGGGATAGACATGGAGATCGATATAGATTGCTATCTTCACGTGTAACAAAAGTTGGAGATGCACATCGTGCCTGCCAAGACGGGGGTCCGCAATCCCACCTGCACCCACCAGCATCTCCACACTCGACATCTGTCAAGACCAGGCCGCCCCACGATATGAACAGCCGGATGCGATAGACTGCGATAACACGACCTAAGTCGCGCGATCTCCTCATCAGACATGGCCGCAGACGAGCCAGCCGCAGACAAGGGCCCCTCCAACCCTGAACTCGACATCAAGAAGCTCCACGCGCTTCCTTCGGAGCAGCAAGACCTGTACTTGCTGACCTTCAGTTCCGACCTCGCCCGCCATGTAGCTGCCCTAGATGGCGACGGTGCCTCGGCGCATCAGATCTACATTAAGAAGGAGATATTCCAAATCATCAACCTCGCATCCCCCGCCCCCACACGCGTAATCCGAAACAACCTGGGACGAGCCATCGCTGGTATATTCGAGAAGGGAGACCGGAAGTTGCTCTTCGAGTCTATCAACGAGGCGGTCGGCATAATCAATGCGGCGGGAAAGAGCGACAAGGACGTCAGGACGAAGCACGCGGCTGTGCATTGCTTGGGCGCCATCTTCGAGGCGGCAGGAGACAGCGCTATAGGCCTATCACCACTCGCAGTCAAGTCGCTACTGGGTCTCGTCAAGTTTTCGCAAAACTACACTGGACTGCGAGCGGCAGTGTTCAAGGCTGTAGGGAAGGTCTTCAAAGGGGTTAGCTCACACGCCGATGAGCTCATCGCAAGAGATGCTTGGAAGCAGGCACGCAATACTGGTAGCGACAAGTCCTATCTCGTACAGACAGCTGTTTGCTACTGTCTCGAACAACTGCTCCGACACACACCTTTCTTCGACAACTCCAATGACTTTGACAAACTGCAAAACGTGGCTTGGAAGGCCATCGACAGTCCTTCATCGTCTGTGAGACATGCTGTTGCTTCGTGCATCAGCGCGGCCTTGGTGAAGAACTATTCTGAGAACGCGCCAGTCGACCTTCCGATCCTTGGTATCACCCGTTCATCGACTGCGCAGAAGAAGAAAAAGAAGAAACCTGGCGACGATGATGGCGATGACATGGTTATGGAGCGCTCTGAATCTCCAGCGCCTAGAAAGTCGGCTACACAGCTCTCATTCACAATAGCAAGTCTGCTCAAACTGCTTTCAACACAATACTGCCGACCCCAGGCTGGTAACCGCGCAAGAGCTGGAATCGCTGTGTGCTATATCAAGACAATCAAGGGCCTAGGCGAACAGATCATCGAGACCAAATACCCAGAGATTGCGCGAAGTTTATTCACCGATCTTCTCAGCAACAACATCATCGTCCAGAACCGCTACCGCACACTTAGTACGAGGAAGTTTGTCGCCGTCATCTTGGAATCAGTCATCGGCCGCGAAATGCTTGGAGAATCTGGTCAGCTCAATGCTGCAAGGTTCTTGGTAAATGAGATTCTGAAGGACTACCCCCAAGCGCTCAAAGAACGTCCAGAGCCGACGAAACAGACCCTCATTGGGGCTCTGAGTACCCTATCCTCGCTGTTCAACAGTTTAGGATCGGCCACCAACGTTATTGCCGACTCCTGCCGCGATGCACTCCTTCAGGTTTTGCAGCATCCCAGTTATACAGTTCAGGTAACAGCCTCAGCCTGTCTTCGCTCGTTCGTACTTGCGTGTCCTCTTCAGTTACTTCCAGCGGTCACCATATGCATGAACAGCGTCAATCGAGAGCTTGGCCTCCTTGCTGGACCAAGACAATCACCTAGGAAGTGTGTCGGTTTGGCCAACGGCCTTTCTGCCGTACTCAGCACATCTACGTCTCAACCCCTCCATGGATCTGTAGATGTAAACTCAAGAGTACTATCACAGGCCACTTCTCTGCTCAAGTCTGCAAGTAATTCAGATCTGAGAATTGGATCTACCCAAATTCAAGTTGCTTGGATCTTGATTGGAGGTTTGATGACGCTCGGTCCCAACTTTGTCAAGATACATCTGTCACAGTTACTTCTCTTGTGGAAAAACGCACTCCCCAAACCACTGAATAGAGACAACATGGTGCAAAGGAACTACCTAGAATTGTGTTTCCTGGCACATGTTCGAGAGTGCGCACTAGGTTCCATCTTGACATTTCTGGAGTTCAACAGCCGTATATTGACACTGGATGTTACCAAGAGATTAGCCGCGATGTTGCAGAACACGACCATGTTCTTGAACACTTTGCCGGCTAAGAAGACAACCGACGACATGTCTCAACGTCTTTCCCCCGCGCTTCAGCTCCACGACTTCGACCTGATGGTACGGAGGAGGGTACTCCAATGTTACACCAGACTTGTTGAACTGAGTCCGGCCAGCACCCACGAGGTCCTACTCCAGACAAATCTGCTACCTTTCGCTATTGCGTCCTTTGCAGAGCCCGACAACTACACCACGAGCTCTTTCAGTACTGCGATTGCCAGTGCAGCAGGAACTTTTGAGAGCATTTGGGAGGTGGCGGATAACCATGGCTTTGGAGTCACTGGATTGGTGCGGGGATTCGACATAAAGCCTCTTCCTGGAGAGCAAGAAACTGGTACCCATCATCACTGGCTCACGAGGCATGGATCTGAGGCCATTATTGATCGCACACTTCTTTCGCCCATCTGCGGGGCTCGCGAACACGATTCGATATCCTTGTATATCAGGGCATCGGACGAGAACCACGAGCTCCCTGACCCACCAGCTACGGAAGTTGTCAACGCAGCACTTCAGCTATTCGCCATATGTCTCCCATTACAAACAGCTAGGATTCAGGAAAGTATTCTAGAGCAGATGACATCCTTCTTATCGGCTGGTAGTCTGCAGCGTGATATTAACAGAAAGACGGCTATGATGGTCAACATTGCATATGCTGTGTTATCTGCTTTGAAAGTTGCAGTCAAGGAAACTCGCTCGGCTCCTGGCAGCCTCAAGGGACCAGCGGTCGAAAAGGTGATGCAAGATTTGCTGCACGTAAGTCGCGTATAAAGTTGTTTCTGTCTTCCTTGTACTGACTTCATTAGCTCTTTGTTATCCTTCCTGACCCGTTCATACGGAACCTTGCTGGTGAAGCATTGGGACGCTTGTGCAATAGCTCTGGAAACGCTCTTACGACCACAGAAGTCAACTACCTGGTCGATCAGATTGTTGCTAACCGTGAACCTAATGCTCGTTCCGGTTATGCCGTCGCTCTTGGATGTATCCACTCTCAGCTCGGTGGCATGGCTGCTGGCTTTCACCTCAAGAACATTCTCGGAATACTGATGTCACTGGGCAACGATCCACATCCAGTCGTGCACTTCTGGGCCATCGACAGCCTATCAAGGGTAGCTGACTCCGCTGGACTCTCTTTCTCCAGTTATGTCACCAGTACGCTTGGTATGCTGGCACAACTATATGCCGCAGACACACACAACGACGAGTCGGCGTCTCTCGCATCTTCGAATATAGAGATCGATATACCCTCACCCGCCGTCATTGCGCGATGCGTTGATAGCACTATCAACGTACTCGGACCAGACCTGCAGGATGTTGCAAAAGCACGAGACCTTATCATGACCCTCGTAAACTTGTTCCAGGGCGATGCGGATGAATTGGTTGTGATTGAGAGTTTGCGTTGCCAGGAACACATCTCGCTGTATGCGCCAGGTCACATGGAGTTCTCAGCTTACGTCAAACAACTGCAGCGGTCCGTCGAGAGCAGTTCTGCACAGATCAGAGACATGGCTATCGATGGATTGCACAACCTTATGCGACGCAACACGGAAGAAGTCATTCGCGCTGCTGATCCTGGCCTCGAAGACCAGCTGTGGCACGTGCTCGATCGTGATTCGGAGCACGAGGTCGTGCGCAACATCATCCGCAACTGGCTGCACCAAACAGGGTTATCAGACACTGCGACTTGGGTACAACGCTGCCACTCAGTGCTTACCAAAACGAAAAAGGTCGAGACGCAAGACAAGATCGAAGTAAAGCCAAAAGCAGGAGCGACGGATCTGCAGGACGAGGAAGTCGCTGGCTTCGCATCAGCATCTAATGCCCCTGGAGCTGAAGCTGGAGATGGTGCACAAGTCAGTCAGGAACTACTAAAATGGCAAGTTCGTACTTTCGGTATGGATTGCTTGAGCGAGCTTGTGGCAATGGTGAGCAAAGAGGCTACATTCCGAGAGGAATCGCCTTGCGTTATGGCATTGCAGCAGAGGATCGCTGATGTCGTGCGTATCGCTTTCTCTGCATCTACAGCCGGTGTGGTGCAGCTGAGGATCCGCGGTCTGAAGATCATCGATCAAGTGCTCAAGCTGTTTGGCAAAACACCTGACCCCGATTTCGCTGAAGTCACTCTGCTTGAGCAGTACCAGGCTCAAATTGGTTCAGCTCTCACGCCAGCCTTCGCAGCAGACTCATCGCCCGAACTCGCAGCTGAAGCTGTTAACGTTTGCGCTACGTTCATCGCCACCGGTATCGTGACCGATGTAGATCGAATGGGTCGTATCCTCAAGCTGCTTGTCTCAGCGCTCGAGAACTTCTCTAGCGAATCAGAAACTGCAGCCATCGGCGATCTCAAGGGACTCAGCTCCAATGCACAAGTCATGGTTAAGATGGCGGTCTTCTCCGCCTGGGCTGAGCTACAGATTGCGAGTGCTGAGCAGAGCTATTTGGTGGATGTATTGAAGCCACATATTGCGAAACTAACTCCTCTCTGGCTGGCATCGCTACGAGAGTATGCCCGTCTGAGGTTCGAGCCTGACATTTCCTCTTCCATGGGCTCGGCCTCTCTGTCTGGAAGTCTCGACACGATCTATGCAGCGCTTAATCGCGAGACATTATTGAAGGTACACATAGCCGTTGACGATGTCCAACACGTGCTAATATACTGCAGTTTTACCAAGACACCTGGCTAAACCTGGTAGACGCCATCGCCAGCCTTATCGACGAAGACAGCGAGTTTGTCTTCGACGCCTTAGATGGCAAAACCGAACTGTCCGAAACTGCGCCTAATGGAAAGTCTGGTCACATCAACTACCGCGACGAGCCCGTTGCCTTCTTTTTTGTGCTCTTTGGACTCGCCTTTGAAGCATTAGCGGGTCGTCCAGGTGACCTACAGGCTTCCAAGGAGCAAATATTGGAGATTCTCCAGGCACTGAAGAAGATCCTACGACCGTCAGTATCCGGTTATGCAATCTACCGGGAAGTTATCTTCTCGGAAACTATGGATATGCTCGATCGCTTGGTGCTTACCGAGGGTTTGACAGTTCAGACGGTCATTGTTGAGATTACAAGGAATCTGTGCCTTGGCCATCCATCTGCGCGGAGAGACCAGGGAGCTACCGCTGCTGATGAGCATCTTTCTGAAGATATCGATCAGCTGTTCGAATTGACCAAAATTATGGTACTGGTACTGTCCGGACTAGTACCTGGGTTAGAAGATAGCAAAGCAAAAGCACGCCACGAGATGAATGAGGAGGCGGTCGCTCTGCTAACAACTGCCCTATCCGCGCTCGTGGACGCCGCGCAAGTTTTCCCGTCGATCATCAAAGCCGACCTCCACGCTTGCATCCTTCACATCTTTGCAACTATACTAAGCACCGGAGCATGTCAAACAACAGTCATTCCGCAAGCACTCCCGATTTTCAAGCGCTTCATCACTAGCCTTGCGCCACATGCCGAAGGTACGGACGATACTAGCAAGCAACTTCGTGCAACATTAGCGCGTTTCCTTGCAATTTTGAGATACGCGCAACAACGCGAGTTTGATGCCGCCCTTGCATGCGAGAAGAATACGATTCTTGCGACTACAATCTTACTGAGCTCTGTAGCCTCTGCGTTTTCGCCCGACGACCCACTCGTCAAGCGTTTCATTGATGACCTATTCGACTGTCTCGGCACCGTAACAACAAGCAAGGTAGCAGCAGGTTGCTGTCGCTCACTCCTCCTCCTACCCAAGAAGGGTGCTCTCGAGACAAGCATCGCAAAGCTCATACTTCCACCAACCCTTTCGTTCCTCGCATCAGCCTCTGATGTTGAGGGCCTCGACGATTCACGTACAACTCTCGCACAGACTCTTGTCACGTTCATCTCCACATTGCCCCAACCATCACAGCGACAGACTGCAACTAAGATTATAATACCTGCCTTGCTAGCACGAGCGCGGAAGGAGCCCAAGGCTAGCCAGGAAACTGCGGCGCGGTTGCTGGAAATCGCTAGTGCGGATCAACAAGCATTCAGGGGTGTGGTGACTGGATTAGACACCGAGCAGAGGAGTTTCATGGAAAGTGTATTGAAGAGTGGGCAAGGGCCGAGAAGGCAGGAGGCGAGTAGGGAGGATGATGGCATGCCGAAGATTGCGCTCAAGATGGACTTTGGCTCGTAATTCGGGGCTGACCTTGTACGACAACAACTCTACGGATGAACCGCATTTTTACGGGGTATTCTTTCTTCGATGACTGCTCAACTGTTCTGATCTGGAAGCTCAGCTTACCACATGTCAGCAAGGGATGTGCGCTGGACGCATGCATGCAGAGACTTGAACGAAGGACACAGGCCCACCATTGGCGCAGCCTGTATTGTATGTAACTAACTATTGGCTGTTGCTGACGGCTATCGACCTTTGTGCGCAGCTGCATCCACAGGGCTGGACACAAAGTCGAGGTTGAGCACATTAGAGCTAATTCCTGGTACCCGGGCGTTCTCGCTAGACGCAATTGAGCAAGTTGCAGACCAGACAGCATACGAGCCACACGGCGACGGTATACCTTAACCTTGCGAAAGTCGTCGGTGTTGGATCTTACCCGGCGTGTTCCCGCTGATAGGTGCTTTAGGGGTGGGAGGAAGCAGGTGCCATTGGCAGAACGTACCGACCCGACGGGAGAGGCTTACCACACGTACGCGTGGGGAGCTACAAGAATAAGAGAACGTGCTTTCTTCATCCCTCTGCCAAGCTGGTGACCCATTTTTCATGTGATTTGCGTGTTACGACGTAGCCCGTGGAGAAGGTATGAGCAAGAAAACGCCACGCCTACGATGCACGTCTGATCCTGACAGTCGGTGCCATTGCCTCTTCGAGTCTTACTCGCCACGAAATGGGACGAAAGGCTTGAAGGTCTCCTGAAATCCTTATCGGCTTACATTGGTCTCGATCTTGTCAAAAACGTTCTCAGTTCTTTATCTTTTGGTGCAGTCGCGGCTTTGAGGCTCTGCATGTTGCTTCCGTTACAAGTCTTTTCGCTCTCTTCCCAGTCTGAACCCTCTTCACCTTCAATCTCCAGTGAAACGACATCCGCAAACTGTAGACCTATTGCTCAGGTTACGCGACGAGCCATGCTAAACGATCCCGAAGTCGAGCACAAGGCTGCTCTTAGCCAAGTACATGATGGCTCTCACGGAAGCCTTCAAGGCTCAGAGAAAGATGCAGACCATGTCGGCACCGCAGATGGAAACAACACTGTCGACGCCAACTACCAGGCTGGTGTACAAGCCGTCGAAGCCGTGACCCTCTCCTGGACAACCGCATCTTTGATCACGGCCTATATTCTCATCTGGCTTGTCTACTTTATCCAAGGCCTCGTAGCAGGAGTTAGCGGCGCCTTGATCCCCTACGTCACCTCCTCCTTCGCCTTCCACTCTCTCACGCCTACAACCAGTGTTCTAAGCTCTGTCATTGGAGGCGTAACAAATCTCAGTATAGCCAAGACACTGGATGTTTTCGGTCGCCCACAGGGGTTCCTTCTTTGCGCTGTACTCGCCACTGCTGGACTTATCATGTCAGCTGCCTGTAACAACGTGGAAGCATACGCTGCGTCGCAGGTTTTCTACACCGTCGGTATCAATGGAGTTGGATACAGTCTGAGCGTGTTCATCGCGGATACAACTTCGTTGCGCCACCGCGGTCTCATTCAGTCCCTGTGCTGCTCATCTTATCTCATCACCGCATGGCTCGGCGGACCGATTTCGACGGCCTTCCTCAACGGAGCTGGTTGGCGTTGGGCGTTTGGAATGGAAGCTATCCTTATCCCAGCAGTTACGCTTCCTTTGTTTGGACTGTTCATGTACCATTATTTCAAGGCGAAGAAAGCTGGTCTTGTTCCGAAACATTCGAGCGGACGTACCTTCTTGGAATCGCTCAGATACTACGTACGCGAGTTCGACGCTGTTGGTCTACTTACCCTCTCTGTCGGTATCGCTTTCTTCCTCCTGCCATTCAACCTATACGCGCTGCAAGCAAAAGGATGGGATTCTCCTATGATTATCTGCTTCCTGGTTTTCGGCATCGTCCTCCTGATTCTCTTTGGAATCTGGGAGCGTTTCTTCGCAAAGATCTGCTTCATTCCCTGGAAACTCCTTCTAGATCGCACCGTCGCTGGAGCCTGTATCCTATCTTTTGCACTATTCTTCAGCTATATGTGCTGGAGTATGTACTTCACGTCTATCCTTCAGGTCGTCTTCAACATGAGTGTTACGCATGCCAGCTACATCATGTCGACATATACAGTTGGCGGTTACGTCTTCGCCGCCCTCATTGGCGCCTTCATGTCCTGGACCGGTCGCTTCAAGCCTGTCACCCTTTTCTGTTCGATTCCGCTAGTGGTCCTCGGGACTGCACTACTCATCCACTTCCGCCAGCCTACCGACAATATCGGATACATTGTCATGTGCCAAATCTTTGTCGCATTCGGTGGCGGAGTAATGACAATTACGACCGAGATCGCAATTTTGGCCGCTGTGAAAGAACAGCAATACTTCGCTGTGGCCATCGCCCTAGTATCCATGTGCGGAAGCGTCGGTTCGGCCGTTGGGCTGACTGTCTCTTCGGCAATCTGGCAGGACGTGGTTCCCAAAAGGCTTATGTTGTACCTCCCTGCTGAAGACCTCCCGAATCTCTTAATGATCTACGCGGATATCGTCACACAGTTGTCTTACCCTGTTGGATCACCTACTCGCTTGGCTGTTCAGAGGGCATACGGAGATGCGCAGAGGTATCTGTTCATTGCGGGAACTGCAGCTTGGGTTATTGGTACGGCTGGAGTGCTCATGTGGCGAAACATTGACATTATCGCTATGAAGCAGACAAAGGGTCGTGTGTTCTAGATTGCAGTGGCTTTGATTGGAATCGCCATTAGCACGGCGCTCTTGTCTCAACAGTTTATGAAACCCCCTGCTTCTTGTACCCAAATCATTTTGGGTCAAGCCTCTCAGTACCTAATTGACCTGCGTTTCCTCTACTTCATCAACGAGCTTGCAAGACTCTCTGCAACTTCCTGGCTACGGATTTGACAGCGGGGTGCATGTAAAGGCTGTTCTGTTACACTGAAGTTGCTTGAATAGACGTCTACCCAGTCTTCTGATGTTTTCTCAAATTGGCGAGGCGCCCGTATACTTGATATTATCGTGATCTCTTTCCGTCGTTCATCTACTGTGTCATGCTCGCTAAAGAAACCGCTAGACTGATGATGTACAAACTCCCAAAATTCCTGTTGCGTCCACTCATATGTACATGACGCGACCCTCCCAAACTCCTTCTTAGCATGCTGTCGAGGAGCATGCCTCATAGACGTGATGTCGCAGTCAATGCATGCCATAATGTGAGTATGCATGCGATGGGTCAATGACAATCGAGTCGTCCAGATTTGTGAAAGCCAATAGTTCAGAGTTGATGTCGTAAGCGCCGGAGTCATCGAATCTCAGGTCGAGGCTTTGCTGTGTTTGTAGCGGCGTCATAAAGTTACTATATGTGTGTCAGTAGCACGAACTGAGTGGAGTCAATCTTTGAGTACTTACGGATCCCAGTTACCCCATAATTGTGCAATCATTTCGTCGTCGAGATGTACTGGCCCCGAATCTCCGTTGCCGTTGTTATTGTTCTGTTGGGCTTGTCCTGTTATGCCAAGCTCGGCAAGACGTAGTGGTGTTTCCTCTGTGACCATCTTGGTGAACCCAATCTGTTCCATGCCACGTGAAAGCTCGACAAGCTTCTCGATATGCGTGCTGTACCGTGGGGTTCTCGTATGCGCGTAGGCGAGTATAAAGATCATGATGAGCCGTAGGATGCACGTGCTATCAAAGGCCGTCAGACTCGATAACGTACCATCACTCGCCATTTGCTCCAGTATTGTAGTGCTCCTCTGTGCTGCGTCGATGCACATCTTGCCCATGCGCTCGAACCAGATTTTCTTGCTCGAAGCTAGCGTCCCGTGCTTTATAACAAGGTATAGAAGAAATGGCCGTGTAAGCAATATCGTGGTACTCCAGTAATATAGGTGTAAAACTGCTACCGCGCGTCTGTGCGTTGGAGGTGAAGGTACGTCGTGCTTGAGATGCGGCGGCATCTGGCGATACCACTTTTGCAGGAGTAAAAGGGAGTTGGACACGGTTGAGAAGGATATAGAGTTTGCCGAGCGTTCCATGTAGACTGATTGTATAATCTCGCGCTTCAATCGACAGAGGGATACTGATGTTGCCATCCAGGATAGTGGCGTATGTAGTCCGGGATACAAGATCTTGTGATCGTCAGCATGCGCGCTTTGGTGCAAGTCGACTGTAAACCTACCTGCTCAGAAGGCATAGGCGTGGTGACCTTTGTGAAGCGTTCATCAACGACCGTAGGACTACCACCTCGCGATGATATATCCTGATCAAGCTGAAATAATGTCCACCAAATCCTGCGATTTTGTTCTCGTTCCATTGCGTTTCCAGACTCAGCCAACTGGTCACGATGTAAACCCAAGGAGAACGCCATCTGAACGCTAGCACCCATGTAGAGGTAGGAACTGACTCTGGAGCAAAGGTTCTCCATAGCGATACTCTGAATGGTGATTAGCGAAAGTGCTTCTGGAGCTATTGACAGGACTCACCATCATGGCCATCGCACGTATGCTATCAATATCGGCCTCGTCGTAGACTGTGGGGATAAGTTGCTTTGCAAGTGTAATATAGTCCTCTGAAGTCTTCAGGTCCAACGCAGCTGGCCAGTCTGGTGGGGGAGAGTTGCCGTTGCTGCCTACGTAGTTGGCTGCACCAATCGCGAACATGGTGTAAAGACAACACATCCAGGAGCTGGACGAGCGTGGTGCTGACTCTGAGTATGTGCTATCCACCCGTCGCAGCAGACTTTCGACCGGATACAGCCAGTACGTGCAATGGACATCATCTAAAAATCGAGAAATATAGATATCACACAATTCCCGACCAGGTAGGTAGTAGCTCTCTTCTGCGCCGGAGTCTGTAGAAGGCGAGGCAACTGGTAGGTTCGGCGGATATGACCCTACTTTGGGCCCGGGAATAATAGAAGGGTCTTTCCTTTGCATGCCCAAGGTAGCGACAGCCGCGTTGAAGGGGATTTCACTATGAGCGCCGACGTAACGAAATTTCCCTCTTGAATCTTTCAGCATGCAGCCCAATGGCTCATGCAATTCGTTCACGTCTTGTTCTTCACCATCTTCAACGCTCTCTGCATCTTCAGGTGATGCCTGATCACTACTGAAGAGGCCTTCGGTATGCTGGACGGGCTCTGCATTAAAGGTACCGTCCTTGATCGCTTTAGCAATGGTTCTGAGGGACTGCAGGTTAAGCTCATGACCAGGGAAGAAGTGTTCGAGAATGCGCATCGAGCATTGGTATTCTTCTTCGGTAACATGGTAATAAGGTCTTTTCCTTCTTGGGGTAGCAATAGTACACACAGCGCCTGTGCGCGCACAGTAACGACATGGTCCCGGGACTTAAGATTGTCAGCCTGTGTCATTGCCGGCACGATTCTACTACCGGTGGGAAAAGAGCCCTACCAGGATCAATACACTAGAGGGGATGGTTAGATTCTTGGCACTGATAGAGGTGGAACTGTCTTAGCTACCTTTGTCTTCCTACTGCGACACCGATCGCAACTGCTGTGGACTCGATGGGCGTTCGGTGCTCTGCTGGATGGGGGCGCCGAAGCTCGTGGCGGCGGGGCGGCGGCGGAGTACTCGGCCATATTCATCCGACACCCACGATAGCCCGGCCGGGTAGGATGACACTAGCGGCGATGCGAAAGTCTCATTCGGCAAGCTTGCAGCAGTTCGTGGAGAAGTCATAAGAGCATCGTGCCTGTTGCAGTTGGAGACAAAGGAAAAGGGTTCCCATTTCTAGCGGGGGATCTGCTGGGGCGTCGTTGCGTACGCAAGGCCACCCTGCAGAACCTGCCGGTCGGCTAATCAAAATCTATAGCGAACACAGAATAGCGTTGGAGAGACGGCAAATCATGTCGCAGCCGCTCGACTCATGTCGCAATATTTAAGAGATCTTAATCAAGACACTCTTTGTCTCCAGAAAGTTGTCCAGAGAATATAAAGGGTCGCCCTCACGTCCTGATCCTGATGATTTGTATCCACCGAAAGGCATGTCGACGCCAGTGACTATGTGTTGGAGCGACGTCAGTGAATGCGTCATGTATAATTGAGCTGAATGGGTATTGCCTACCTGGCGAAGTACAATTGACGCCAACGGTACCAGCTTCTAAGCCTTTAGCGAAGCGCATTGCACGATCGATGTCCTTAGTGTACACCGATGCATACAGCCCATACCTGAACAGAATTAGTCAGCGTTTGTTTCAGCTAGGCCACGCTAAGGAGGGTGAGACAAACTCTGTCGCGTTAGCTTTGGTAAGTACTTCATATTCGGATTTGAAGACGTTGATGTTGACGACTGGACCAAAGATCTCTTCCTTCATGATCTTTGCGTCTTCTGGTGTGTTCTTGAAGATAGTAGGCTCGATATAGTAGCCCTCGCGACCCGATGGAGCGCCGCCACCAGTGATGAGTTCACCGCCAGATTGCTTTCCCGATTCCAGATATGCCAATACGGTCTTGTGTTGCGCCTCGTCGGCTTGCGGGCCGTGGTTGACGCCTTTCTCCAGGGTGTCACCCATCTTGATCTCCTTCTCGAAGTTCTGCTTGAAGAGGTCGATATACTTGTCGGCAACTGTATCCTGGACGTATATGCGCGAATTGGCCATGCAAACCTGACCGCTGTTCCACTGAATGCTATGTGCTGTTTCTTTCACGGCTTTTTCCAGGTCGGCATCTTCAAAGATGACCGCAGGTGACTTGCCTCCGAGCTCAAGGAATACCTGCTTGAGGTTGGACTTTGCGGCAGCAGCTTGAATCAGACGTCCTGTACGGCTCGATCCTGTAAATGACAAAGCTCGCACATCCATATGATGACTCAGGATCGAACCACTGACATTCCCGAAGCCAGTAATGATGTTTATCACACCTGGAGGGAAGCCAGCTTGTTGTACCAAAGTAGCAATTTTAGCAGACTGCTATTGTTAGTTTCCTACATGGACATGTAAAGGGCCACCTACGGTCAATGGAGCCTTTTCAGAACTCTTCAAGACAACAGTGTTTCCGACAATAAGGGCTGGTGCTAATTTGTTTGCCAAAAACAATAATGGCACGTTCCACGGGATGATACCAGCTACAACACCATAAGGTTGGCGGAATGTCATGTTGACGAATCCCGGGGTCTGAATGCTCGTAGTGCCTGCTCTAAATCAGCACTCTGTTTCTTCATTCAATTCTAAGCATCCTACCTTGTACACTGTATCCCGCTTCTGCGTAGCGGTCCCATTTTGCAGCAGAGGCATAAGCATCGATAAACTCACCCACCGGGCGGCCCATCGAGCTTGCTTCCAAAGCAGCCAGTTCATCGTTGTTCTCTCGAATTAGACTTGCTAATTTCTTGAAATACGAGCCTCTCTTCTCCGGAGTCAATTCAGACCAAGCAGGAAAGGCAGCCTTTGCTGCTGCTACGGCATTGTCGGTGTCTTGCTCAGACGCCTCGTGTACTATAACCGTCAGGAATTAACTACTCTGAGTTGAGGCGCCCCACACCCACCTTTTGCTACAGGCTTCAAGGTGGCTGGATTGATAATGTCAAAAGTTTTTCCGTTCGATGATTCGACAAACTACGCTGAGGTTAGCTGGGGCTTTTCCAATCGACAGAAGAGAGCTGACTTCTCCATTGATAAAGAGACGCGTTTCGATCTTCTCTGGTAGACCCATTTTGGCGATACTAAGATCTTGAGCGATTAAATTCGATTGATACTCGGAAAGTGAGTTGGGAGATATTTTAGTGGTGTAGGCTATCTTAAAATGGAAAATAGCGCAGTAAGTTTGGAGAAGAAGCGAGGCTGTGCTACGGTGTTGCTTCGATGACTTCGACGACCCCACCTCGGTGCCGGTCTTGCTCCACACGTTCGCTCAAAGCGTCCCGCCGGCAATATCATCCCGCGACTTCATGCATATCGCACCTATATCACTGCCGTGATAGGCGAGCCCATTCGCGGAGCTCTGGCAAGAGGGGAACTTTGGTTGCGAATCCCACGAGATACCTTCATGTGCCGTGAGAAGCTTCGTGTTGGACTGCGAGTCTTAAGAAGGAATGAATAGCCGTACCCTCCAGGTTGTGACCATTCACCATTATTTGTTCAAGACCGCGAAATCATGGGAAGCGAAATCGAGCAGTTGAAGGCGATAGTGGAGAAGCTACAGGCGGAAGTGACGCGTTTGAGTGGTACGTGATTAGTCAGCCATCGATTAGCCTCCGTGTGGCTAGCTAACGGAACGTTAGATCAGGAGGACATCCGCAAGCTCCAGTATACGTACGGTTACTATCTCGACAAGTGTCTATACAAAGAGGTAATTAGAATCACATCGTTTCTCTGAACAAAAGCTAAGTGTATCAGGTCGCCAATCTATACGCCGACCATCCTGACACATGCGTTGAGTTTCTTGGGGGCCGATACAATGGCAAAGAGGGCGTACAAAGACTGTACATCGGTCGATTCGCCAATTCCTTCGTAGCTGGGCGTAATGGCCCTGTTTATGGCTTCCTCCTTGATCATCCACAGATGCAAGGCATAGTCGATGTCAATTCCGAGGGCACACGTGCAAAAGGCCGCTTCCGCAGTATGATGTCGGCTGGTACCCACGATAGCATCAAGGACACACATCCTCGCGGCCTGGTACAATGGTGGGAGGGTGGAGTGTATGAGAACGAGTACATCAAAGAGAATGGCGTATGGAAGATCTTCAGGCTGAAGTACTTCCCGTTTTGGCACGCGACATTCGAAAAAGGTTGGGCACACACCAAGCCCAACTACGTGCCGTTCCTCTCGAAGACGTATCCAGAAGATCCAAATGGGCCAGATGTGTTGTGCGATCACCCGATGCTCTGGCCAGACACGCGCGTCGTGCCCTTCCACTACAAGCACCCTGTCACTGGTGAGCAAGTGGCCGACGACGATCTTAGAGCTCCACACTTTGGGAAAGACCCTTCAACGAGCACTCCTCCACTCGTGCTGAGCAAACCAAAATCGGAGATGAATGGCACGACTTAGGTGTAGTACTGCACACACCACTAACGGATATGTTCTATGGCAAGCAAATAGTAGCTCGATATCATCACAGCCTTTGCTAGCCGCGTGTTACATCTTTTTGCAGCTCTAATGAATAAGAGGTACCATAAAGAGTCGTGTTGCACCCCTCTTTTCACTCGTCTCTTTCTCATCGATTGGTAAAGTGGTGACTTCCCACCACGCTTACGCGTCTCCAACGTTGTTGTGTGTAGTATCCATTTAGGCATTTCAGTCTCGTGTGCTAACCATATTTTGCCACCAGTGCATGACATTACACGTGCCCGAACACGTACGATCAACATATGTTAAACCTAAGCTCTCTTCTTCGGACCAAACGTGCCGCTGTCGGTCCTGTGCGGTCTGATCAGTCCGGGCTTAAGAACCCCTGTAGCCACCACCATCTACCCCGCAAGCTCACTTCCCCACATGCTTACTCGTGACTTCCGAGCACGGCAGTACATCTCGTACCAAACACTTGCATACCCTGCTCCAGAGGTCTACTCATAACAATGGGGTCGAGCTGCGATGCCAAACTTCGCCATCAGTTGAGAGCATACCATGGCGCACATATTCTCCCTCGCTACACCCGCATCCCCAGCGTATCATAAAGGGAGCCGATCCGGTGATCAGGTCAAGTTCCCAGAAAGTGGCTTTTTCCAAGGCTTCAATAAGCCATCACGACTTGAAGCCGACATCTTCGAGCTCGAGACGACTGGTACAGTAGGTGTAGTATTTTGCTCGATATATAGAGCCTGAAGCTCAGTGCTTCCAGATTCCTAGAGACATAAACGGCACCTTCTTTCGCATACAACCTGACCATCGCTTTCCACCTCTGTTTGAAGAAGACATACACTTCAATGGTGATGGCTCAGTATCTGCATTCCGGTTCGAGAATGGTCACGTCGACTTCAGACAGCGATTTGTACATACCGATCGCTTCAAAGCGGAAACAAAAGCGCGCAAGTCACTACTGGGACGGTACAGAAATCCTTACACAGATAACGAGATGGTGAAAGGCATCATCAGAACAGCGTCGAATACTAACATCATCTTCTGGCGTGGAGTGTTGCTAGCGACGAAGGAAGACGGGCCACCTTTTGCCATGGACCCGGTCACGCTTGAGACAATTGGTCGGTATGATTTCGATGGCCAAGTACAATCTCCGACGTTCACTGCGCATCCCAAGTTCGACCCGGATACTGGGGAGATGGTTTGCTATGGCTATGAAGCCGGAGGTAATGGGTACGATGCTAGTTGCGACATCGTGGTGTACACGATTGATAAAGACGGGAAAAAGACTGAAGAATGCTGGTACAAGGCACCATTTTGCGGAATGATACATGATTGCGCCATCACGAAGAATTACCTGATCCTACCGCTCACTCCAATCAAAGTCAACGCGGAGAGGCTCAAGAAAGGTGGCAATCACTTTGCTTGGGATCCCGATGAAGATCAGTGGTATGGCATTGTGCCTCGCCGCAATGGGAAGCCAGAGGATATCGTCTGGCTACGTGCTGACAATGGTATGAGACCTACACACAGTGATATCGCATGGGATATATGCTAATGCTACCAGGCTTTCATGGCCACGTTGCCGGCTCCTACGAAGACTCTTCGGGAAATATCGTCGTTGACCTTACTATAGCCTCTGACAATGTCTTCTACTTCTTCCCACCAGACAGCCAAGCAGATACGCCCATGACGCTACTTCAGCGTAATAAGCTCGTCTCCGATACTTACCGCTGGGTCTTTGATCCCAAGACTCCTACCAACACGCGGGTGCAGCCACACAAACTCTTCGGTACCAACGGCGAGTTTTCGCGCATCGACGATCGAGTGTTGACGAAGAAGTACAACCACTTCTGGCAATGCAACATAGACCCAAGTAAACCGTACGACTTCCAGAAGTGTGGCCCGCCAGCTGGTGGGCTTTTCAATGTGTTGGGTCATTATGAGTGGGAGAGCGGAAAGAAAGACACTTTCTGGGCAGGCCCGACATGCACGTTCCAAGAACCCGTATTCGTACCCAAAGCCTCATCTTCTCCAGCGGATCTCGTTGAAGGCGAGGGATATATCATGGCGCTGCTCAACCATCTTGATATTTTGCGCAACGATATCCTTATTTTTGATGCACAGAACCTCTCACAGGGTCCGCTAGCGGTTATACATCTGCCGGTGAAGTTGCGCTTGGGCTTACATGGTAATTTCGTCGAGCAGAAAGACATTGACGAATGGGCTGAGAAGAGGAAGGAAGGTGGCGAGGTTGGACCGGCGGTACCGGCGAAGGAGATGTTGCCGTGGCAGAAGAAAATGGCAGAGGAGGAAGGCCTGGGAAGCGCAGTGTCAGTACCTAGGAAGGGGGTTGGGAACGGATTGAATGGTACGATTGGAATCAACGGTCACTGAGTTCGCATCGAGGACGAGCCATCGAGTAAATACCGTCGATGTAGTTTGATCTGTCAATCTGCTAAGCTCCTTATCAACTACGTCCTGGATGTTTTGGTTACCGAAGCGCAATTGATCGTACCTGTCATGACACTACCCCAGTGAGCAGTAAGTCCGATCCGCTTGCTAGGTGTGGGCTTTTTCGGTTTGTGAAATTCGATTTACGATCGAGTAAGCACTTTCATGCAGTTTCGCTCCGCTCAGCAAGAAATTCTTATGATGAAGAGAGGGCTGGCTCTAAGCTTTCACAGCAGTACTGCAACTAATGGAGGCGCCTCTAGAGTGAAATAATGCACAGACGTGATACTCTCATCATCGCTCTCCTATATGTGGGTCCATTTGAGTGACCTGGAGCGCCATGAATGCACCCACCTCCTTGCGTGGACCAGTTCAACCCTAGAACCACAGTCTTGTGAGCTCCACTTCCACTTCTCAACCCGAGGCTCGTCACAACTTCCAATCGGAAAATCCACTTGACCCTGATTTAGGATCAAGTACCAGCCACTATTACGCTACAACTCGGTACCATAAACTGGCACTTTGGTTCCCCAGAGAGGAAGAGCTACTCAAGAATTCCGCATTTCATACCAAACCCAAACATACTGGTACTCTCGGTCGAGTAACATGGCAAGTAGAAAAAGCCTTATTAATATTAAGTCAAAGCCTGCCGGTCAACCATCACCAACAGGCACTCTTAATACTATCCTGCTATCATCCTCCAGTATGAATCGTAAGGCATGGCGAAAAGCTCGCAAGTCCGCTACGAAGACAGTAGGAGACATCGTAGTTTCTGATGCCGAAGATCAGACAGCTCACACCGAAGGACTATCCACCGAGCCACGATTAGCCGAAGACACAATCGAATACGAGTGCTGCATCTGCAGAGACGATTTCCCATTCTCAGGTGGTGTTGCTCATTGCGAAGAGCACTTCACATGCAACAGCTGCGTTGTCGATGCGTACAACGCTGCAATCGCCGACATAGACGCTTTTCCAGCCCAGTGCTGTAGTCCTTTCCCTCGCCCCATTGTCGAGCATCTTTTGAGTCCTAAGGTACGCGTGGCATATTCACTTAGAGCAGAAGAACACTACACGCCGCGCGCTATTCGCGTTTACTGTGTTAATGAGCAATGTCGCTCGTATATTCCGAAAAGCTGTGTGGAAGATGATCATCCTCTATTCACGGTGGCACGCTGCAGCTGTGGAACCAATACCTGCGTCGGTTGTAAAAATGAGTGGGAAGATGAGGAGCACCGGTGCACCGATTACGTGGACGATACGGTGAGACCAGAATGGCTACCGGAGTACTCAGCTAGCTGCCGCGCAAAAGCGTGTCCGAATTGCCGTATGTGGATGGAGCACAAGGAAGCTTGCAACCACATGACCTGTCACTACTGTCATCATGAGTTCTGCTTCGTTTGTCTTCAGCCTTGGACTAGCGAGGGCTTCCATCAGGACGCCGGTTGCCCTTCGTACGGAGACCCAGAGGAAGGGTACGACAACGAGGGTTACGAGCTGGGTGGTCGAGGCCTACACCGAGACACTGGTTATAACCGCATGGGGCTCAACCGATTTGGTCAGCGACAACTGAGCCACGCTGTTGTGGAAGAAAGTGCAGCCAGTGAACACGATCAGTATTCGGACAATGAGGACCTGGATTACGATGAGTACGAGATAGACTATGCCGATGAAGAACAATGGGTAGACGACGCACAATTTGGAAATAACGAGCGAGCAGACGGAATTGCGCCTCAGGACGAGATTGAGTGGGGAGAACCAGCACAGGGTGGTAGGCCATGGGACGAAGAACTGGATGCAGAACAAGACGTGCAAATCCTCAACTTCGACAACTCCTGGCGAGTGGAGCTTGTTCCTTTCACGGATGAAGCAAACCCAGTCGAAGCTACAATTGTGACTTCGTGGGATCTGGCACCAGCATCTCAGGGACACTCACAGGCATCACCACCACCCGACTCTGTCCGTGAACAAATTCGTCTCGCCCGACGCGTCCCGATTCTTGCTCCGAATCCGCATCCCGAGGACAGCGTCTTCAGCGGAGGTACTCCAAGTTTTCAGCAGCTGGAATGTAGGCATTCGTGGCACCGGCACTTGCGATTATCACAGACAGAATATGGATATGCGCACTGTCTGGGTTGTAACTATATCGCGGGCAGCTGGACGAATTACTGCTCCGTTTGCGGCGTGGTCGCCTGCGATTGGTGCACGTACGAGTTTCGGGGGCGTTTTGTGAGTACGTGGGAGCGTGAGACGGGGTTGCTTGATATATTGATTTGGGCTGAGAAGGGTGTGGTACCGTTCAAGACTTGGCGTCGTCAAGTATCGGAACAACTGGAGGATGAGCTTTGGGCCGATTGTGATGAGGACATATTGGGTCTGGCTACAATGTTGGGGGTTTACGAGACTCAACTATTCGAGCTGCAGCCGTACCTGTACTGGGACTTTGGAATCCGGCTTATGTTCGAAGAGCTGGAGCTGCAGATGCGGAAGGACTACTGCGCTGTTACTGAGGAGGATGTGGGAATACCAGGGCTTACGCTGACATTTGACCTTGCAACGAACCCTTTTGCACCCTTACACTGGGACAGCTAGATCTAGATTTGAGCTTCATGTAGAAATGATCAGGAATACGACTTCGACCTCGATTCGGCTCCCTTGATAGCATTTGAGGACAATGTATAATACTCGAGGCAAGCAGGCGCACGCAGGCTGGTTGCCATGATGTGAACAGCACTGTGACTTATTCTGGTAGCTAACCAAGAAGATGGAGGAGTATACAGCTGAATAGTCGAATGCTGAGTTATTTGCTATCAGTAAGTCGCGCTGTACACTACCTTCGTCTTGTAGGGGTTGACGATGTCATAGCGTGATGTTTTCGCGTGTCAGGATACCCGTCTTCCCGACTTCGTTCCATCCGTCGTCAACGATAGACGTCAATATTACAGCCCCGATTCCTTGGCCATACGACCTGGCTTGTTTCTCTCGCTTTCCGTTAACCTCTTTCTGTTTCCTTCTCATTTGTTCATGTATGCTCACAGTCTTTATGTCCAGCTTTGTGCCCATCTGCTCAATCCGTCCTTCAATGCGACGAACGATGCCTCTGCCTCCTATAGGTAAGATTTCATACGCGTCTTGTTTTGTTTGACTCCAGGTGCTGTCTAAAAAACTCCAATCGTTTTCTTTTATATTACAATGTACCTGCGAATATATGTTTCCGCTACTCTCTTCTTCAACGCACTGCATATAGCAAATTACATGATTTCTGGGGAAATTTTACTTCCCATCGCCCCTTCCTAGGGTAAGCGGACGGCCACAGATTAGCGCCTGTGTGATGGCTGCTTCCCAGGTCAGATGGGAGAACCCGCATTTGTGGGGAGTCTGAAGGTTGCACGCGACCACCAACTTTAAATCGACGCCCTGAATGCGGCTGTTTTGGCGCTCGAGAAGGACGTTCGTGTCGTGGGACGCTTCATGTTTGTGTGGTACGTGTGTGCATGTGGGGCGACGTTGCCGTTCGCCACTGTGAGGTATACCTTTCCACGCGTGAAATTGTGCAAATCCATCTTCTGGGGGACAATTGTACAGTTTGCTAGGGGCAATGTAAGATCCTAGAGATGCAGCGCACGTGGTGGAGATGACTGAAACACATTGGAAGTTGAGAAGGAACTGGAGGGCTGAGTGGCGACTTTGGAAACTATGATTACACGAGGCTGGTAGAGTCTGCAGCATGTGATGAATATACAGGGGCCTTTCTTTGGTTGGCTTATGTGAAAGTGGACTAAACTTACCACTATCACCACAGGGTTCGCTGTTTCAGACCTACACTCATCAAACTTATTTGCCTTCAACGAATAACTCAGTAAGCAAGACCTAATGGATTGAACAAGACAGTATGATGATAGCCTACTTGGCTACAACTTATAAGAAAACGTGCAGACTTGAAGCGAGAAATGCCTTCTTATCCACGCAGTGTGTTTTTAATGTTGCTACCATGCGACGCATGATATCGGGTTGAGACGCTCTGTATCGAGCATGCAGGATTATCTACGATACCACTGGAGAGGTATTGAGTGGATCTATGCATGAGTCCTGATCGATGATGCACCTTCTTCTCGATGCGAGGGCAGAGTCCTTGGTTGCCTCCGCGGATTCGAATTAAGTTTGTAGCAAACTGCTTACATGGACATGGAGAAGAAGCATCAACGTCAAGAACTGTTCAAGAAATGTGTAAAGCAGCTTGTAGAAGCCTCTGTCAGACTTGGTGGAGGTCGAATCATTCAGAGAAAATGCGTAAGAGTCGATCTTGTAAAGGGCTGTGTATTGCATGATGGAACCAGTCACGAAAAGGGTAAAGCGTAGTTGGCGATTAGCTCGAGAATGTGGGGGCAGCGTGTCACATGCCACACCTTTGTCTCTGTTTGAGCCATGTGAATACGTGTTGGAGGTGTCGGCTGAGCCTAGGTGGTCTAGAGGGGTGTCATCCGTACGATGCTCTCGCAGTGAGGCTGGCGGGCGAGAGTGGCGGTGGTGAGAAGAGGCATGCGCGGATAGGCATAGGAAGCTGTTCGCAGAGAGTCATTACTGCATGCAGAGAGAGTCGCAGACCAAAGTGCAGGAGGGAGTAGAGAGGCCAGAAGTTGACGGGCTGGTGCATAGTCAGTCATGATAACGCTGGTGGTTGCTGGATGGGCGGGCTGGGAGTGGGGAAGCTGGCATGGCGCTTCGCGAAGCGGTGATTGGCGTGGACCCATGTCTGGCCACGCCAAGTTTCCGTTCGGCTCTAACCTGGCTTCCCTGTTCCCTTCTCCATCATAAGATAGCGCCGCCGCCCATGTGACCATCTCTCGTCCACGGTGCACTCATCGCCTCGTGATTCAAGTCGGTCGTTCAACTGTGCTGATAATCCTGCCTGAAGCAATTCCCAAGTCTGCGATTTTCAAGGTAAGAAGCTTTCTGTTCTTTTTCTCGTTCCCGAAAGTGTGCATCCGCCCGTTCTACCACCGCTTGTCGAGGGTCGTCACGCCTTCGCCCGTCACCTGATATCGCGGACCCATTGGAACTTCGCAGTCGAGCCTTGTACCATCGGTGAGTTAGCATCATGGTCGTTTTCGCGGAATGGTCGGAACGCTGCGCATAGGCCTGCGCATTCCCTCAGCGCCTCTCCACGCCATCAAGCCCGTCGAGACAATCGCATCGGGCGTCGTGGTTGCCTCGAGCCCGCACCTCGCTGGCTGTGGTGGTGTTGCTCGGCATCCCGCACTTGGTGGACGCGCGCATCCACCACGAAACGACGCACGACGCCATTGTGCACTCCGGACGACCCACCCGCTCGCACGATACGACGGCCCTCCTTTGAGTAGTGACAGCTCCGTCTTACAATAACGGGCAGCTCGACGCGCCCCAATCGCCTGCCTGCTATGCCTCTTGTCGCACCACTTTGACCTACTCAGCTGCTCGCGCCCGTGCTAATGTTTGTCGAACCTAGGCCTCTGTATGCGCTCCCCAAGCGCATGATTGCTAGATCAAGTCCTCATCCGGATTGCGCGTGAACTGGTGGGCAAAGCGCCACTTGTTGCTCCCCCTCCCCGCCTCGGTGTTTGCGCCTACGACTCACGCTTCGAGCGCGTCCCATCTGCCTCTTTCACCAACCTCCAATACGTCACCCGCCCGATTCGCTCACCCGCGGCTACATCCAGGTCGGCTACTACAGCGCGCTCGCTTACCATTGGCCCTGTCCATCTCAGACTTCACCCTCTGAGTAACCGCGCGCAGAAGCTTTGCATCGGCCCTAGCGTACCTACAGGCGATACTCTACACTTTCAGATACCCCACCAGATACCATGGCCGATACTGCCGGCTATCCCACAGACGGCAAGCTGGATGCCCACAACGTGCACACCAACAACAAGCGGAAGCGCGACACGCGCGATCAGGGCCTGAACCGACCCGCTCCCCACACCGCCAACAACGACCTGACCGACCAAGCGACTGCCTCATTCCTTGCTGCGCACAACGCTGCCGACGACGACATGCAGCAGCAGTTTGACGTGCACCACAACGGTGGGACCAACACGGCAAGTGTTGGCGATACTGCTGCGGCCGCGCTTGCCTACCACCAGATGACGGTACCCCAAGCAACCGAGCTCCAGTTCCAAACGCAAAACTCGGGGGATGGCTCTTTCAGTATGGGAGACCACAACCAACAACAAACGGGCATGCAGGACTTTAGCCTCGAGGCCTTGAAGGCTGCCACACAGACGGGCCGTCCCGGCCAAACAGCACCCAGCGACTCGCCACCGCAAAGCGCCACCCACAAGCCTCAAGTCGGCACAGAAGAGTGGCACAAGGTACGGAGGGATAACCACAAAGAAGGTAGGCATCTATACACATATTTGAAGCAGCAATCACTTACAGACACGCAGTCGAACGCCGCCGCCGCGAGACTATCAACGAAGGCATCAACGAACTCGCCAAGATCGTTCCAGGTTGCGAAAAGAACAAGGGATCTATTCTGCAACGAGCAGTGCAGTTCATTACTCAACTCAAGGAGAACGAGCAACAAAATATCGAGAAATGGACGCTCGAGAAGCTACTCACCGAGCAAGCCATCACCGAGCTCAGCGCGAGTTGCGACAAGTTCAAAGCCGAATGCCAACGGGCATGGGACGAGTGCCAGATCTACAAGCGCGCATGCGAAAACAACGGCATCCTGCCTGACGAGATCAAAGAGCGTCAGGAGAACGGCGAACAGACGGGAGCGAATCCCATGTAGAACACGGAAGAAACGTCATCTGATTAGTGGTTAGATTGGGTCCGACCCGACCTGTCTAGCCCTGCTCTCCATCGACCATGTCCTGTCGACACGATGTTGATGATACCTTGTTAGCTATGTTCGGGGACTATACATCTGTACTTCATTTCTTGGCCTGTCGGTCTACTGTTCATCCCGCGCACTTTCAGTGTGGCTGATTATCTTATTTATTTGGCGTACAGTGGGGGGTATCACTCGCTCTTTTGGTACGGGCTTTTTGGTGTTGTCTGCATATGGTGGTGCAACTGGGATAAGATAGGCCTCCTTCGTACAAACAACGGAGGCTTCTCTTACGTATTCAGCGACACGTTTTACAGCAAGGAGGAGTTCTTCAATGACACAGCATTCTCGGTGACTTTTTCCAAATCATGGTATGATATGTGCTGGTCACTTGTACTGTCGACTTGGTAGTTGCACGACGACGTTTCTTCTGATGTGTTTCCACATGAATCGCGCTATCGGAACCCTGCTTATCCGTTAGCGGACGGCGCATCCCACCTGCCTCGCATGCACATAGCGATTCATTCTCTCGAACCGCGAAGACACGTTTCTTACCACACCCACGAATTTTCCGAAGCAGCAGTCATGATTAGCACGTGAACGGGCTCCCGGACATGGTGGGCGTAACACGTTTCCACCCGACCCCAACCCCACATTCAGATAATACGCGCGACCGACTATGGCCAACAACGAGGTGCCCGAGGAGCCGCTTGTGCCTCCTGTATTGGACGCAGCTGAGCTGATTGGCAATTCGAGCGCTGATTTTCCGGTCATCGAGGCCGAGCCAGAGGAAGAGCTCAACCTGCCACTCGATACCGCCGAACAGCAGCGTATATTGCTTCAACAAGACGAAGACCAACCCCAAGCCGGGCCTCCCCTTACGCTGCCAGCACGCCCCGGCCTGCAACGCGGCAACTCAGTCCCTACGCCTGCGCCGAACCTCCCTCCTCCCGCACCGCCTGTACCGCCGCCAGACACCCCACAGAATGACTCGCTTTCGCTGGCGCAATTGCAGAACCTCGTGAGGGGCTTACCAAAGGTCGAGCCTGCGCCATACGCCTTTACCTACGACGATGCCTCGTTCTTCGAAGAGGAGTTGGAGGAGTGGTTCTCATACGCAGTCGAGGAGCAGGCTATGCTGCTGAAAACCCAGGCATCCTACTCGTTGGAATGGAGCGCATTCCATGGGTTGAACGACGTGTCCAATGGCGAAGATGGCTTGGACTGGGCCAAGGCGACGACAACACAACATAATGACTTTGTGAAACATTTGTTAGGAGGATTGAAGGACGCAGATCCTGTCATGAGGCTAAAGAAGCTCGAGGCATTGGTCTACGTCCTCCTTGGGTGCTGGCATGAGACTGCAGGACTACCAGAACCAGCGGCGGACGAGGCAAAAGAGTCGGGCGCAACGTCAGCACGCAGCGCCGCATATGTCAAATCGGGAAAGCAAGCCTCGCTCATCAAGCGCAACGTACACCTGCTCGCCGATAATAACGGCGTGCAGGCCATCGTCGATGCACTCAGCTCTTCGCTTCTGAGAGCATGTGGGGTGGAAGTCACACCCGAAGCTCAGCGCGATTCCAAGGAGGCTGAACGACGCGAGATCTGGTGTGCGATGACCGCCGTCTACGTCTTACTAGAAGTTGCGCGCGACGAGGAAAAGACGAAGAACAGCCTCAAACTCAGAAGCGCCATTCTTGACCTTGAGAAGCCAGGCCTTCTTATGCTTTTCGTTGATCTCATCGCAAAGTTACGGTGGGACGAGTCAATTAACCTGCCTCTTAGTAAGATTTCACTGCTGCTCTGGAAGACGATGCTGGTGACTTTCGGTGGTCTCGCGGAAGTTAACAAGGTCAAAAAGACTTTCAACGACAACAAGCTCGAGTCGGAGGATTCCAAGGGTCAGCCACTCATCACTGCCTCGCCACTTGATTACCACCTCTTCAGACAGGAGATAAGCTCCAAGTACCCTGCGTACAATCCTCCTCTTCCCATATTTCCTCTTGAGCCAGAAAACAACTCCATCTTGCCACCACTAAAGAACCACCCAAACAAGGTAGCTGGCAATCATGTCTTCGGCTCAGGACTTGGAGACACAAACGGCAACAGCACGTCCATTCTGCACCAGCCGGTACATATTGCGACCCCGGCGCCCTCGCCTCCTCCCTCGCCTGCAGGCCCTGGCGGCAAGGGCGGGAAGAAGCAGAACTACCAGACAAACCAAATGTTCCCATTCCTATATCCGCCACTCGACGAATCTAGTAACAAGCTGGGTGGAAAGGGCTCAACCGACCTGCAGGACCTTCTTGTGGGACGCAAATGGGAAGGCTCGGACATACCTGCATCCATCTTGGAGGCCGCAGAGCTCTTCGCTAAACGCATGAAGGCCACGCGTGCAATGAAGCAGCTATGGGAGGAGCGTGTCGCATTTATGAAATACGAGCGCGGTTGGACCGGTCCTGACGACAATCCTGATATCGAGGAATTGTCGCTTGAGCCCAAAGATGAAGCGCCACCAAAGAAATTTGAACCTGGTAGTTGTGAGGAGCGACTGCATTTGGTCGAGGAGTTGTATCGGATCGCACTTCCCAACTTACAGTCACTAATCATCGTGTTGATCAAAGCTATCCTTGCACATGTCACGGCGCTCGTCACGCAATCCAGCGGCGCGAATGGACTACAGAGCGGTTTCCAATTCCAGGACAACCAGAACGGTACGACAGCCGGTCGGCCCGACATGAGTGGCATGAACGGTCATGGTAACCCGTTAGCCACCAATGAGGAGCTTGACGCAATGCGCACACAAGAGGTTCTCGACAAAGCAGTCACAGGCACCTTAATATTGATCCTGAAATGGTTCAAAGTCTCTCACATCCTGAAATTCGAGTACATCACGCAGCTATTGGTCGATTCCAGCTATGTCCCGTTGATCCTGAAGCTACTACAACTGCAAGAGGTTGAAAAAATCGTAAACTTCAAGAGTGAGCAGGAAGAGCTCAACTTCTTCAACTTTTGCCGAACACATTCCAGGAATGTATCTGAAGAAGACCATATTGAGAGCCATCAAGGAGAAGCGTATAACGGCGAATCTGACGAGGATGACGCCGTCCCACCTCCAATCCGCCTATCCAGAGAAGATATAAATGAATCAGGACTCGAGCCAGCCCTTCCGCTTGCTCAACTACAACCTCCAGAGGTTGACGAGCTTGGCTTCCCTACCAACGAATTGCCGAAGGAACCCATCACTAACTTCTCATGGCGCGCGTTCTTTACATCCATCAACTACCTTCGCATTATGCAAAAGATCTGCAAGAACAAGGCACATCGTAATCTCATGCTAGTGTCTTACAAGTCTTCACAGTTCCTTCGCAAGAGTTTGAAGGTACCACAACCGGAGCTGCGTCTGTATACGCTCAAGCTTTTCAAGAACCAAGTTCCTTACTGTGGCCGCAAGTGGCGACAATCCAACATGCGTGTCATCACTGCGGTGTATCTACACTGCAGACCTGAACTCCGAGACGACTGGCTAGCCGGGAGCGACGTGGATGCTGAGGTCGATGAGAGCGTCCCGCTTGAGCAAGCTCTGCGATCACTCACTCACTGGCACAACCTCAAGCGCTATCCAGAGAGCCTAGGCGCCAAACCCGGTGTCCTAGAGGAGGAACAAGACTTCTTCCGCAACGAGCTTGAGAAGATGGACTGGGGTGATGAGGCTGCGAATGAAGGCGAGCTTGAGCATGGCTGGGGGGATCTTCAGGTTGAGGGTTGGTGAACATCTTGCACCCCTCGCCCCTGAACATGCCAATGCCTTGCACATTCCTTAATCTGATATCCAGCCTGGATATCGCGTTAACATCTTGAGTAGATGATTCGCAACGCGCGCAATTTCTCGAGCGCCCCAAATACGAGGTACATCGGCGCAGACAAGCAGTACGAGGTGGAAGATTGACCAGACCGTCTCTTGCGCGGTCCATCTCGGAGCCGGCTGCCAAAACATGGCCAGGTACGATCAAATCAAAGCGGGTTTCCCGGTGGGATATTCATAGCGAGCTGGAGGAACTCGTCAAGGCGTCGACGCGCGAGGATAGCGATGAGGATGATGACGAAAATGCAAAGGACGGATACTCTGATTCGACCGGAACTGATGGGCAAAACTTTCAAGTCAATGATGGCTGGCAGAGAAAAGGGACCAGGGAACTGCAACGCGAGAGGAGAGAGAAAAGCGAGGGTACTGCTTCTAGTCCTGAGACTGTATGATATTTAGCCATTGTATGGGGATACTGCGACACGCGACTCTGCATCTTTTAGTTGCAGGCTATTGTTCTAGCCAAGGATACCCGTTGAGTTTGATAGCATTCAGAGATTACTCGTAACAGATGTCGTGTTGTTCGAATGAATGTAGAAAACTTGGGTGTGATGTAAAGATGGGGTTGGTGGACATTCAGTTGCCGCGGCGTTTGAAGCTATCATCGTCATCATCCAACCTTACACGTTTAGAGCGAACAACAGTTCACCGCATCTGAGCTAGCACGGCGTGTGGCTGGGTAGTCCGAGAATGGGACTCCGCCAATTAGCCATCTGTGTATCCGGCTTACCTACTGACGCTCCGCAAAAGAAGAAATGCGGCCCGCCTTGCCTGACTCGGGTTGGCACTACCCCGAGCTCTCGATCCCCACAGGTTGGGGTTGGCTAAAAGACGTCGGCGTCTGCTCTTTTGCCGGAGTTAATCTTGCTCACACTCTTCGCAATCCTCGTCGCCATCTTTGTAGAGCTTTATTTTGCATTCCCAGCTTTTGATTTCGTGTTTTCTTCCCGCATTGTACAAGTAATTGAACGCACGGCATCATGGCGAAGGTTTTCGATTATGCCGAGGGTTAGCCTCCAGTGCCCGCGATCCAACTCCAACTACCATAGCTAACTCGGAACCCAGTCGCACAGCACAACACAGCAGAGAGCTGCTGGGTGATTCTCTACGGCAATGTTTACGATGTCACGCGCTTCATTCCTGAGCACCCCGGCGGCTCAAAAGTCATCCTCCAACTTGCCGGCACCGACGCAACCGAAGAATACGATCCCATCCACCCACCCGGCATTCTCGAAGAGAATCTCGAAGCCTCGGATAAGCTCGGCACCATAAACCCAGACACGCTCCCGAAAGAGGAGAAGACACCAGAGGAGACTGGCGAGGCGCAAGACGAAGGACCCGTAGATCTGGACAGCTTACTGAACCTCGATGAAATAGAAGAGGTGGCAACGAAGCAAATACCTTACAAAGCATGGGCGTACTACTTCTCCGCAAGCGACGACCTCCAGAGCAAGTCCTTCAACAACAGCGTATATCGCAGCATACTCCTACGACCCCGCGTCTTTGTCGACTGCACCCGCTGCGACACATCCACGTCCTTCATCGGCAACTCGGTCAAACTCCCCATCTATGTCTCCCCAGCAGCCATGGCGCGTCTCGCGCACCCAGACGGCGAATGGGGCATCGCACAAGCCTGCAGCCAATTCGGCGCCATGCAGATAATTAGTCAAAACGCGTCCATGACGCCTGAACAAATCGTCACAGACGCCACCCCAGGCCAGGTCTTTGGCTGGCAACTCTATGTGCAGAACGAGCGCGCCAAGAGCGAAGCCATCCTCGACCGTGTGAACAAACTCGACGCGGTCAAATTCATCTGCCTCACCCTCGATGCGCCAGTCCCCGGTAAGCGCGAACACGACGAACGCAGCAAAAACGTCGGCTCAAACCTCCCCGTGCGCGCCTCGGTCCAAGAATCACAATCGCTCTCCAAGACCAGCACGAGTGCGAAGACACCCACACAAGCCAGCGAGAACGAGAAGCCAAAGCCCAAATCAATGGGCATGGGCCAGTCCCTCTTCTGGGGCACAGCTGCAGATCTAACTTGGCGTTCTACACTGCCCTGGCTCGCAAAACACACCACCAAACCTATCGTTCTGAAAGGAATCCAAACACACGAAGACGCTTATCTAGCCTCGCTCCACGCTCCAGCCGTCAAAGCCATCATCTTATCGAACCATGGTGGTAGGGCACTGGATACAGCTCCACCTGCTGTACACACGTTACTTGAGATACGCAAATACTGTCCCGAGGTGTTTGATCGTATTGAAGTTTGGGTCGATGGAGGAATCAAGCGGGGGACGGATGTTGTCAAGGCCTTGTGTTTGGGTGCAAGGGGTGTGGGTGTAGGTAGGGCGGCGTTGTTTGGACTGGGGGCCGGAGGGAAGGAAGGAGTTGCGCGGGTGCTTGAGAGTGAGTCTTTCTCCTTTTTTTTAAGATTCAGAGTGTGACATGCATGCTAACAGACAAACAGTTCTCAAAGCGGAGACTGAGACGTGTATGCGTCTACTTGGTGTGGAAAAGGTCGAGCAGTTGGGTATGCATTGCATCAACACACGTGCGGTTGAGCGCGACATCTGGGATGGACCGGGTCTGGAAAGGGCTGTCGTCAAGGCGAAGTTGTAAGAACGCATTTGGGGATAGCCTGGGAAAGGGAAAGAGAAAGCGAGACCGAGACCGAGAGAAGAGGATCCAAAACACAGGTACTCACGTTGGAGCCGATGAGACCTATTTTCTTATGGTATCACGGCTGTATCAATGGATTTCTTTTCACTTCATTCCATATCATAGCGAGCCTCGGGCCGCGTGTTCCAAGTCGGTGATGACGAGTCTTTCCGTTCAGCTCTAGACCGTTGCGAGATCACGGCCAGCCTTGGGCCGCGTGTCCGTTGTGGCCTGACTCTTAGACGCCAATGTCTCTGATGTAAGGCATGCCAATTGATGAATTGGCTGTAGAGCCAGGCCGCACAATTCCCAACTCGGTTCCAGGCCCGATGTGAGACCATGGTAAGTTCTGGGCCGCGTGTCCACCATGGTCTCGGTAGGCGGATGCCAAGGTCGCTGATGTAGGGCATACTAATTGGACGGACTTGTTGTAAGGCCAGGCGGAACTGTATATTAGCCAACCTTTGGTGCTAGGCTGTTTCATTCACCAACGGTTTTTTCGTCAGCCTTTTTTTTTTCCTTTTCTCATTGTTGGGCTGTTGAAGCTGAGAGTGAGGACTTGCAATACTTAAGCTTTTGCAAATCAGGCCATTTCGTGAAGATGGCACTAGACTAGCAACATGTTCTGTGTCAACCTCACGAGCCGTCTCCTAGTCAAACGTCCGGCTTCGGTCCGCAGCCACAGTAACATGATCTGTGGACTAGGCGGTTCGTTTCGACAACGCCACCCAAGTAGGGCAGCGCTAAGAAGCAGCATCTAATCTCGAACGACGCGGTGCTCTGTATCGGAGAATTCCTTGGACATGCAAGTTCCTTGCTAGGCAGATATGTTGGCATTACAACTCTGCACTTTGTGAATGGTCCAGGTAGTTGGTAACACAGCTGTAGAAGATACCTTGGTCTCAAGTAAAGGTAAGATTGGAGTCGGGATACTGGCATCTTCCATCAAAGAGACCCGTTTTTCTTGTCTTGAAAGATAGTTTGAGACATGTACACACTACGGCTCATTTGCCCATGGGCGCATAGCCATAGGATAAAAATCATCGTGATTACCTTGGTGGTGCTTACTTTTGCTTGCTAGCAAACGGGGACTTCCTAGTGTAGGCTTTTCCCAACCTCACACGTCTAGAGGCATCCAGCGTTGTGCCTGGAAAGTGGGGTTACGTGGTTACATGGAGCTGAATATTGTCACCCCCTGTACCTTGCTGATGTATCAATCGGCTCCACCAACCAAAATTCAGCCTTACCCACCACGTCGGTTCGTTCTACCGCTCCTGCAGCCTGCCACGTGTGTGCCTTCTGCATCAGGCATCTCCCATTCAGTCCATCATCAAGACTTGCCCCTCACCAATGCTTCAACAACGTGCTCGCACAGCCTTCCCAACTCCGTGCCTGATGTAGCCTCTCCTTTCGACTTGTCACCGCGCCCTGTAACTGCAAAGGCTATCGGGGCGTTTAATGACGTTGCTGGTCCGCAGTGACACCTGGCGATGCGCGCAATCTTGAGAGGAACGCGCTAGAAGCATGGCCACTGTCTGATTGATCCAGAGTGCTGGGATACTGCAGTCTGACGTCCTCTCCCACGTCGCAAATCCAATCAGGATATGCATGGAGCTCTCTTACTGCTGGCTCGGTTGCGGCACAAGCCTAATGCCGCATTCACCACGGAGATATTGACCGGTTGTGGCGGCAGTAGGTACAATCAGATCATGGTCTATACGCAGACGATAGGAGAGTGTAGCGAAGCCAAGAGGACTTATGCGGCAGGACTTGTTTGGAAGGGGAGGTGCATTCCGTGCATGAGAAAAAGGCAGGGGCTTTGTCAAAAGGTATTCCATAGCCTTCCGAAAAATGCACCTTGACATCATTTTTTCTTAGATGCATGGCAAGATAGTGCTAGTGGACCCTTGGTAGTACCTCACAAGCGACGTTCTCGTGTTCTCGTGATGCTACTCCTACTACTAAACCCGGAAAACCTATCGTGAAGAAGCTCGGACTGTTTGCTGGATGCAGACGGGGGCTGAGCTTGCGAGCTTGCTTCACTATTCGCGGCCGCGGTGAGATTGCGATGATGAGCCAGCTGGGTTACGGGTATGCGCGGGGCCCAAAATGGGGAAATTATATAAAGAGACCCTGACGCTCATCAGGCCCGTGGACCATTGTGTGTTTCGAAACTTCAACTGTGTTGCTCATCTTCATAACCGTGGTACTGCCTTGCTAAATCAAGATCAACGGACTATTTCACCGCGACTGCCCCTTCCATCCATTGCGATCACCTCAGAAGCGTCTTCGATTCGACATATATCTTGCTCTTCTCCAGACCCAACTCGGCTCCATATTCACCTTCTTGCTACCTTTTGTTCATTCTGCTTCTGCCTACTGCGCCGCATCTGCCCCGGCTATTCACTTCCGCCCGCTCGATCCGGTCAACTACGCAAACGCAAACATGAAGGACTGCCCAACGTGCAAAGGCAACGGAACCACAAAGTGCGACGCTTGCAATGGCAAGGGCTGTCCAGCATGCAAACGATCCGGCAGCAACAAGTGCAGTGTGTGCGAGGGCACAGGCGCGATACATGCGGAGCATTGAAACTGGCCTTGTTTCCTGAACGAGCTGGAACTCAGAGGTGCGTACTTGCTCACCCAGGCTCGCACGGAGCGTCAGCACAGCCACAGGGCCCCCTCCCTTACAAAACGCATCACTCATCCTCATGTCTGAGCGCTAGCCGATTGCTTCCGAGGCACGACCGAGACATCGACTGACATATCGCAGATCATCCTCGTCTCATCCATTCATTCATTTCCCTTCATTCCATTAGCGTTTTACACACAGTCTTTATCGTCGCGCGGGCGCAAAAGAGACGATCGAGTTGGTCAGAGTGTGGGGGGTGCGGTTCGTAAAGCGAGGTGATACGCAAAAGGGCGAGCGGCAGGATTGCGGCACTGAGAAACGCACGTCAAGCCAACACGTGCATGAGATTATACCCAAGGAGGCAATTTCCGATTGTTCCGGAGTTTCAAAGTTTGAGGCGTTGGCGGTTGGGCCCTCGGCCCTCGTTTTTTTCATTGGTTAAACTTAATTGTGATTGCGCAAAGAGCTGGAATACGCGGGATTTGTGGTATCGCGAGGTCGGGGGTTGGTTGCGGTTGGTGACGTTCTGCGGTTCCAACTTCCAACTTGACTTTGGCCGAGGGGGCTAGTATAGCGGCTGGCCGTTTTTTGCCAGCGCGATTGACACTCGTTGCTCAGGTACCAATCATCAACATCATTTCCACCCGTAACGCGGCACTTTTGTCATGCACCGGCAAAATCTCGTTTTCGTTTACGAGACTTTCACATGCAGATACGCTGTCTGGTCTTGCCCAATGGTCGAATACCAGCTTCATTCTCGATGATTATCGCTAGGTGCCTAACCAAAACGAAAGGAACAATGCTTTGCACTGTTGATTCAGCCCAAGGAGGTGCAGATACCATACCTTGGCTGCAACCCATCGGCACGATACGGTGCATAGCAACGACGAGCCGCTCACAATCCACATAATTTCAACGTATCCGAACGATGCCCTTGGATAAGAACTATTCCAAGAACAGCTTGCACATACCATAGTTATGTTGAAAGCTCGGGAAGCGGCATAGTCCTCAACGACTGGGACCAGACAATCAACTAGAGCGATAAGAACAAGATTGTGTGATCCTTTATTCAGTTCCATGTGGTTGCGGGTTGGCGGAGTTGTGCGGCCAGCCTGTCGTCAGTAGATCATCGCAGCACCACTAGATGCAGTGGGTGACAACCGTAGTATAAGCACGACTCCAACGTAACGAAAGAAGGTCTGTGAAGTCGAGTTTATGATTCGAAGAGCTGCTTTTCGAGATCTTGGATTTCTGGTAGCGACACCTCACACCCAAGGTAAAATTACCGCAGCTTTTCTCTCAGTTATTTCATCAACTTGACTCACATTCCCTTCTTCTCCCTCAGTCTGAACACAGTCTCGACCTACACGACATATTGGCAATGGTACGAATCCTCAAAAGGCTTGTGGAAGCCTGCCTCCCCACTCGACACGTCTATCGATCTTTGGAACAACGCCCAGCACGCAACCCGTTTCAACGACAAACTACAGTCAGAAAAGATGAAATCCCCTTCAACACTACAGAGCAATTTATCGCAACCTATCTCGAAGATCTCACTCAGTGCTGCATCTGTTTCGAAGCCTTCGATCACGATAAACATACGCCAACCCGTTTCACTGGACCGAACGCTTGTGCCCACGTCTTCGGAGGCTCATGCTTGCGCAGGTGGCTGAGGTCAGCCATCGCTGGCACAGATGTCTGTCCAATATGTCGGAGACAGTTGTATTATCGGCTTGATGGGCCTCACGTGATCAGTACTCCCGTGTCGGACAACAGTGGAATTGCACTTGGAGTAGTCGAGCATGATTGTCAAGGCGAGAGGTTGGTTGAGCAGATTGAACCAAGTCTGCTACACATGCACAGGGAGATATTTGTGCATTCATCTGGCACGGACTAACTAGCCGCGGAAAGTCATGTTTACAGCGAAGTGGCTGGGCTTGGTATCAACCCGGAATCTTGCGCAAGACTGAGTACCTTCTTTCAATGATATTACCGAAGCTACGATGGAAGGTCAACGGTGCACATTGTGCAATTAGAGACAGCAACAATTCGTGTCGCACGGCATTACTTCACGCAGAAAATACTACTGGGTGACGGAATATATGAGATGTTGTCGCTCTGAAGCTGTAAATCTTCACACTATCCCCACTTCGTGGTCTATTCACACAATTTCATCAACAAACTCACCCGTCCAATAGTTTCCGTTCGATGAGATTCCGTATCATGCGTACATATTGGTCAACGATACAGTGTAGCTATCATCGAACCCTCTTTACCAAAAATCTCAACAACGCAAAGTCCTCCCCAAGATATGCCACATCCTCCGTGC